ATTACCTTGACATCATCAAGGAGCCCATGGACTTCAAAAGAAACTCTCCAAAATCGATTGAACTTTTTGAGGTGAAAGCTTATATTTCTTCCTGGAATTATTGACTAACTGTGCCTATTGCAGAGGGATGTTAATTTAATTCGCAGCAACGCTATGAAATACAACACTCCGAGGACAATTGATCACAAACAGGTCTGAGCTTGTTAAACTTGCAAATTCAGTTTTACAGTTGCACTGATGAAACAGGCCAAAGATCGAGGACATCGCCCGAAAAGCTGCTCAATGGTCAACGCAAAGGCAATCAGTCTTCTGAACAGCAAGGCTCTGATGCAACGCCCGGGGCTGGTTTAGCGTATGGAAAAAAACGACATCGACCATTCCATTTCAAAGTTCTGGAAACGATTTCAAAATTCAGGAAGGTAAAAACGCTGCTGTTTGCGCTTTATTAATCGCATTCATTGCCTGTGCGTGTTACTTTCAGGTTCTTTATGAAATGCTGCCTCTCTCAAGGGACGCGGACTACTTATTATGAATGAGAATCGTGCCACGTCCTTCTGAGCCTTTTGATGAAGCTGTTGTCGCACAAATTATTCCCGCGCTGCCTCGTGATGCTGATGGATTCTATGTTGTGGTTCTTACGCCCAAAGCCTCGCCTTGTTCGGTGCAAACTTCAAGCGTCCGGCCTGGGACTTTGTTGCAAGGTTTTGGCTCCAGGATAGCACGAGAAGTCTGACTTCACGACCTGACAGCTTACGAACCGAGCCCGTGGAACAAAAGATTCCTTCAAGGGCCGAGGCATCACAGCAACTTTTTGCCATCGAAGTGCCATCCAGCACGTCTGCTGCTCCTGCGGCTCTTGTCTCGAAAGTTTTCACGAAGTCACGACGTACAACTACAGCAGCACAGGAACGTGGTCCAAAACTACAGAAACGTCGAGGCAGTGGCCCAGCAGCAGCTTCAGAAGCCGCCCGCGAGGTTTCCCCCTCTGCTTCAAAGAGATCATCCAGGCAGTGCCGCAGCTGAGAACCAAGCCGAGTCCTAAGTTTGGTCCAAACGGTAGCATAGGATTTTCAGGCATGGACGCGTCGAGAGCCTTGGGGAATCAAGAGCAGCAACAACAACAGCAGTGGTGGTTTGCCGCGAGTTTTTGGACAGGAGCATGTGAATCCAGGCCGGTCCAATGCCAAACCAGCCATGGCATTTGTAACAGCAGTGGCAACACCACGAGCGTTAGAGACATTGTCCACACATTATTCTAGAAGGTTGTTATTATGTTAGATACCATCAATTTTAAATTTGTTTTCCAACTTAGAGCATTTGCCACAATATTCATTTTCTCTAACTTTATGCATCAAACTTAATTAAAGCATTAACTTGGAATGGCGACGAAACAACACCACCACCACAACAACCACAACAACCACAACAACACCGCAATTGGAGAAGGAACTCCAAAGATTGCTCATTTTGGGTTGCGCTCTACAGCCGATGCTGTCAATGCGAGTCCTGTTCTTTAGAGTTGGTCCGGAGTTGGAGAAGCATCTCATCAGAGCGTTTCACCTGAAAGAAAAAAATAAAACGAAATAAATGAGAACAAACCTGGTTAGCGTACTGGAAGCTTTTCTCCGAATATGGCAGTCTTCGTGACCAAAAATGCATGCTCGTCAGAAAAGAGAAGACACCGATGTGATCCACACAAATTCAAACAATTGCGAAATAATCTTTGGAAACATTATATAGTGATTTGGAAAGCCGCTTTACCTCAGAAACATTAGTGAGAGAAGTTAATTGAACACTAACTATGCAAATGCAATCTTCACTGGTGACTTCCTCACCTTTCGACGATCCTCCTTCCCTTTGACAAAAATATCCAGCGCCATTTCCAGCGTCAGCTCCTCCACCTTTTGATCCTTTGGGACGTAAACGGAGTAGCCTTCCCTCCGGATGTAGCACCCAAACCTCCCGATCCCGATCATCACCGGCTTTCCTTCCGGATCCACTCCCAGCTCCTTGGGATACTTCATCAGCTCCATCGCCATCTCCAGGGTGAAGGCATTGTAGTTTATGCTCTCGGGAACTCTCACTCGCTTTGGCTTGAGCTTCCCTTTGGCATCCTCGCCAATCTGCACGTAGTCTCCATACGGCCCCTCCTTGTACAAGACCGGAAGCCCCGTGCTGGAATCCACCCCGAGAACTTTGCTCCTGGATTTCGCCACCGGCGAGCCGCATTCTTCCTCCTCCTCCTCCTCGTCCTTGTCGAGGCTGTTGCTGTAGTGGCACGAAGGATAGCGATTGCAGCCGAGGAAATAGCCAGTTCCAAACTTCGTGAGCTTGAGCTGGAGCTCGCCGGTGTGGCAATTCGGGCACGTCTTGTCTTTTCCAGCGAGCTTGTCCGAGAAGAGGCTGGCGAGCATGTCCGCTACCTGTTGAGTCGGAACTTTGGCCGTGGACGTCACCTTGTCGTGGAAGTTTGGCCAGAACTGCTGCAACACTTCCTTCCACTTCATGCTCCCAGATGAGACAGCATCGAGTTGCTCCTCCATCTTGGCTGTGAAGCCGTAGTCCACAAACTCGGTGAAGTAGCGCGAGAGGAACGCCGCCACCATCCGGCCTCGAACGCGTGGGATGATCCGCTGCTTCTCGATTTGCATGTACTGCCGCAGCTGGAGAGTCTTGAGGACGTGAGCATACGTCGACGGCCTCCCGATGCCAAGCTCTTCCATCTTCTTCACCAAGCTTCCTTCGGTGTATCGAGGTGGCGGCTCCGTGAAGTGCTGCTTGTGCTTGACGTCTATGGCTGAGACGCAGCTGCCAGCTTTGAGAGATGGAAGCTTCTTCTCCGTGGCTGATTCTTCGTCTTCGTTGTCACCGGCAAGGGCGTCTTTGTCTCTGTAGACGATCTGAAAGCCTGGAAACTCCATGGTCGATGCTGTCGATCGCAGCCTCACAACGCCTTTCGGGTCCTCCACGTCCAGAGAAACGTGATTAAACACGGCTTGCTCCAGCTGACACGCCATCGTTCTCCTCCAGATGAGAGCATACAGCCGCAACGCATCCTGCTCCAAAACTTTCGCCAGCTCCGATGGAATTCGCTCGATGCCTGTCGGTCTTATTGCCTCGTGAGCTTCCTGGGCGTTCTTCACTTTGGATGAAAACTTCCGGGGACTGCTGAGGACGTAGTTCTTGCCATATCTCTCCTCGCCAAACTTTCGAATGCTTTCGATGGCTTGAGCCGACAGCTGCATGCTGTCCGTCCTCATGTAAGTTATGAGACCGACCAGTTCACCATCTGGAAGCTTGACACCTTCGTAAAGCTTCTGCGCCAGAAGCATCGTTTTGGAAGCACCGAATCCAAGCTTGCTTGATGCGTCTTGCTGTAGCGAGGATGTAATGTACGGTCCCGGAGCATTCCTTCGTACAACACTGTTCTTCATGCCATCAACTTTGAGGGAGCTCTGCCCGATGTAGCTGGCAGCAGCCTCGGCCTCGCTACCTGTGAGCGAGAACTGGTCCAGTTTGACACCGTTGTAGCTCACAAGTCGTGCCGGAAAGCTCACTTGTCCCTTGCTGTCTGCTGGACAAATCTCTGCCTCCACCGTCCAGTACTCTCGAGGAGTAAAGCTCTCGATCTCCTTCTCCCGGTCAGCGAGGAGACACAGAGCAGCAGACTGGACCCTCCCAGCGGATTTGCTACCCGGCAGCTTCCGCCACAGGAGCGGAGAGATGTCGAAACCGATGAGATAGTCGAGTGCTCGTCTCGCCAAGTACGCGTCCACAAGCTCCTGACTTATGTTTCGGGGTGACTTCATTCCCTGCTGGACAGCCGTTTTGGTTATCTCGTTGAATGTCACCCTCTGGATCTTCAGTCCCTTCTTCATGATGCCTTCCAGCTTAATCATCTCGAGAATGTGCCAGGCGATGGCTTCTCCTTCCCTGTCCGGGTCAGAAGCTAGAACCATCGCCTGTGCTCCCTTGAGCGCTGTTTTGATCTGGTTGAAGCGCGACTTTGCAGTGTCCGGGACTTCCCAGACCAGATCAAAGTCGTCCTGGGGACGGACCGAGCCGGAGCGTGCTGCCAGGTCTCTTACGTGACCATAGCTCGCCACCACCACGTAGTTCTCTCCCAGGTACTTCTCGATCGTTTTGGCTTTGGCAGGAGACTCCACCAGGACCACCACCTTTCCAGAGAGCGCGGCCCCGTTCTCTTGTTCTCCCGTCTCTATGGTGGAATCAATGGTAGTAGCAGCTACTACTTCAGCCTTCTTCTTGCTTCTCTTACTTGGAGCTTCCTTCAAATCTCCACCATCTTTTCCTTCCTTGGCAGGCTTCGGCTTCGCGGCATCCTTGGGCTTCGTTGTTTTAGCAGCAGTTTTCACCTTTCCTCCGTCATCTTCTTTCGTAGCATTCGATTCGCTCTTCTTCTTCTTCTTCGCGGCATTCGTAGCGTCACTGGGCTTTTGTTCCACAGCCACCTTGGATCTGGCCTTTTTCTTATCTATCGCTTGGGGATCCTGGGTCTCTTCTTGCGGCTTTGCTGTGCCTTTAGATTTTCTCGCAGGAGACTTCTTCGCCACATTCTCGGCCCCGGCAGTCTGCTGGCTTTCAGCAGTCGACGCGTTCAAAGCCACTCCCTTCTTCCCTTTCCTTCGAAACCATCTTCTACTGCTAGCGGAAGAAAAATCTCTGGAGAATTGGTAGAGCACGAATTTGTGGCCTGACTGTGCAATCCCCCATCGCCCCTGGCTCCCGCTCTCGAAAATCCCACACGAAATCCTACCTGGGGCAATGGAAGGAAGGAATGCCGCCGAGGACGAGCACAGCAGCCGCGAGAACAGAGAACTGCTGGCCTTGAGAGCTCCCATTCTCGGCGCTGATGTGTTAGGAGGCAGGATTCGCCCGCGCGCGTCGAGGGAGAGATTCATTCCCAGCAGCGCCATCGCGCCTCGGCATCTTTGTCGATAAACCCTAACCCCTAGGGCTCGGAAATCTGGACCGTTGGATTCTCATTAGTTGGAATTCCGGAATGGAACTGGAATGAGCTTCGCGCGAGGTGAGCGAGGGTTTTGTTGATGTGGATCCGGGAGCGACGCGATGGCGCTAGAGGTCTGACGCAGATCGAAGGGTATAGGTTTTAGCAGCGATGGAGTGGACGGCGAGGAGGTCCAGGGAGCCGAGAGCCGGCCACAGTGTGGAGCATTTCATCACTCGCAGGCGCTCTTCGCGTTTTTTTTTTTCCTCCCAGGATTGGAGCATTAAGTCGTGGGATCTAGATACCGAGCACACGCATTTTCTTTATTCTCCAGCCAAGAAAACAGACAGGATCTCAGAAGAGATGGCGATACAACTTCGACCGTGGCTGTTCTTTGGAACGTATTTAAATGGTAAGTCTTTGTCTTGTATCAAGATAAACTTTTGATGCGTCACGTTTGGTTGTAGTTGTTTACCTGTTTGCTTCTGGATGCTAAATGCTCATTAAACTTGGCAGCACTCAAGCGGGTTCAAATCCAGTATCAGCTCTTTCCTGGCATTCTATGTTGTGGTTACTTGTGACTCTTTCAAAGGATGGCATGGTGCAGGATGTGTGCGAACTTCTTCGAGTCTGCAGGTAACATAATACTGGTTATTCAATATACGGGTAGTTTCATTAAGTCCTCTTTGTTTTCTTTTTCTTCTAGGCGTTGAAAGTTTGGATGTTGCTAAGGTTCTGGCTCAATGTAGTATACCCTGTCCCGAAGATCACTTATCTATTCCAGGGAGGTCACTCGACCTGTGCTAACTTCAGCTTGGTCTCGTATGTCACCATAGCTCGCCACGTAGTTCTCTTCCAGGTACTTCTCTATTGTTTTGGCCTTGGCAGGAGACTCCACCACGGCCACCCACCTTTCCTGTGAGAGCAGCCCGTTTTCTTGTTCTATTGTCTCTTTGGAGGAATCGATGGCAGTTGCAACTCTTACTTCTTGTTCTATCGTAATTGATGGCAGTTGCAGGTATTACTTCAGCTCTTTTCTTGCGTCTAGAGAGGATTTTGCTCAGCCTCGGATGTCTGCTGGCTTTTGGCTTTGACAGCCACTCCTTTCCTTCCAAATCAGTGCTTGATCAGCCGCTAGCATCTCAAACCAAAGCTGGATCTCAAGTGCGTATCTGGAGGGCAGTCACACGGAACAAGAAAGAAGCAAAATATACTCGTTGATCGTTTGTGATCTGTTGAAGGATAAGTCTCTTGGAGTAAAGCTTGAGGATAGTCGATCTCAGTCTTGAAGGCCCTCCAAGTAGTATCACAATGTCATGGGAATGGAGTGGAGTTCATCAAAGGAACCCTGGACAAGCACCAAACATTTTCAAAACCGATATTACATTTAGAAGAACTTACTTGGCCAATTTCTTCTTGGTGGAAATCTCCAGCAGCCTTTAGAAACTGTGTCACATGGAAGATTAGCAGCTTTGCATTATTGGAAACGTTTGTTCATCGTCTTGCTTGAGCAAGAAAAACAGTCCAACATATAGAGAAAAGAAAAATTGCAGAAGCACACACCTTCCACAATCCTGCTGTGCCCAAAGGCAGAGCAAGTTGTGGAGCTCTTCCACGAGTCCCCTGTCCCTCACTAGTTTCCCTGCTTCAAAGTTCCCAGCACCGATGCAACCTTCAATATGAGAACGTCCATCACTTGTCATGTTTTGTAATCACTTGGTTCATTTGTGATCTTTTCCCACCCTTGTCTCTTAGCTACATGAACACTAGGTTGATCCAGTTCTTGCATTCTGGAGCTACAACTTCCTTGGGGCTTTCCATCTTCTTTCGTTCCTTCTTCTTCGCGGCATTGGTAGTGTCATCACATTGCCTGCTGCTTGGATCTAGCATTTTTCTTATATTTCTATGGTATAGGTCTCCCTCTAGAGATCCATCACATTCTCAGCCTCATTTTCTACTCTTAATTTCTGCCATCGCCCCTGGCCCGAAAATCCCACACGATACCCTACTTGTGGCAATGGAAGATAAATGTTGCTGAGGACCAGCTTGAGAGCTCTCATTGTACTCATTACTAGTCGACAAGCTTGTCGCAGCCAAGCAGTATCTTCGTTGATAAACCTTAACCCCTCGTAAATATGTTCATATATATGCTTCAAATATGCATGCCCAAACGAGTGAAATCAATGAAATAGTGAAGCCAAATGTAAATGCCCACAATGACACATTTTCCCACCACCAGCTGCTACTGTTGAAATGCTTATAAACCATTAACGTGGAACTGCTATTACAAGAACACTCTTTGTCAAGTGGCTTTCCACATAAGCCTGGATTTTCCAAATAACTTGACTTATCAAATGTGCTCATCTGCCCCAAGCCAAATGGAATCTTGCCCTCAAGCCTGTTGAATGAAAGATTCAGAACTGATAGTGAATGAATTTCTTGAAACGTGTTGGGGATGGGTCCAGTAATGTTGTTGAAGGAGAAGTCCAGTTGCTCTAACTGTACCATCTTGCCCAGAGTTTGGGGAATGTTTCCAGAAAAGTGATTATTGGAGAGATTGAGGATGTGGAGTTTAACCAACTCACCCAAACTTGGAGGAATCACTCCTGTCAATTGGTTGGATGACAAATCAAGGACGGTATTTGATGGATCAAAACATGGAAATTGTCATTCTCTTCCTTTGACCATAAGCATTAATGTTTTCCTAAGCAATCCTATAGGTCTCCATTCAGGAATACCATTGGTATGTTTGAATGCATATAATTGGCTTAGAGAACGTGAAAGACTTCCTTCAAACTTGTTGTGGGAGAGGTCAAGGATGTGAAGGTGGGTCATGTTCCACAACCAATCAGGTATTGGGCCATGGAATCTGTTTCCACCAATGATTAGCACTGTGAGATTTTTGAAATGTGAAAGAAATGAAGGAATTTTGCCAGAAAACTTGTTATCACTGATGATAATGTGCTGTACTTTTTGTGATAGACTTTCTGGTAGCTCACCTTCAAATTTGTTATATGAGAGTGAAATATATTGAAGATTTGTCATGTTTTTGAAGACATCTGCTCCAAGCTTTCCACTCAAAAAGTTATTATCAACCCGAAGAAAAATTAGATTAGTGCAGTGCTTGAGCCAATTTGGCAAACCCCCAACTAATCTATTACCACTCACATCCAGGTAATTCAAATTACACAAAGGCCCAATACTTATTCCCAGTATTTCCCCAGTGAGCATGTTGTTTGACAAAAATAGGAATTGCATGTCCCTTGAAATGGGTGGCATATGTCCGTTGAATTTGTTGTCTGATAGATCCAAGTATTCAACTGAAGTTGTTGTCAAGATATATGATAAGCTGCCATTCAAGCTGTTGTTACTCAACTCAAGAAATTTCAGATTCGATAGCTGCCTTAAATTCATTGGTATGGCACCAGTCAACAAATTGTTACCCAAGTGTAGCTCATTTAAATTTGATAGATGTCCCAAGCTAGCTGGTATACTACCTGTGAACCTGTTATTCCTAAGGTTAAGGTCGATTAGTCCTCCCATTTGTCCTAAGCTGAGTGGTATCGTACCACTGAACATGTTGTAACTGAGATTTAAACGCTGGAAATTACTTGAATATGATGGAATATCACTTGATAGAAATGAGCTTGTCAAGGAGCAATGTTTTAGAGTAAGATCCTCCAAATGAGTCAAGTTCCATATTTCTTTTGGGATTGCCCCCGTACCATTCAAATGACTCAAAGACAAAACTTTGAGAAGAGGTAGAAGCGTGAGTGACACTGGTATAAAACCTTCAATAATGTTATCAGGGAAAATGTGTATCTCCTCCAGCTTACTGCAATTACCAAGTTCCTCAGGGATTGACCAAAAAATATAGCCAAAGGAAATTTCAACACGACGTAGGTTTGTTAGCTGCCCAATTGACCTGGGTATGCAATGTCAGCCCAAATAACTTCGAGCGATGATAAATTGCCAATAAATTCCGGAATTTCACATGGCAAATACAACGTTTTCAGTTTCTTCATCATTCCAAACTCTTTTGGTAGAGGGCCAACCAGGTTATTCAAAGAGAGGTCAAGCACCTCCAGATTTTTCAACCTGGATACTTCCGGACTGATTATTCCTTCGAGATTGAGACCCCCCAAATCGAGCATTATAACGTGACCAGTAACATTACTGCAGGTCACTCCTTCCCAAGACACACAGAGATTGTGAGAATTATCCATTGTCCAGCCGGATAGAGCAGTGTGATTTGATAAACCTCCTTTAAACGCAAGCAAAGCCTGGAGCTCATACATTTCCCATGCCTGTATACAAGCTGAAATGCAGAGCATCACATAAGCACCAAGAACAAGAGCCCCTCCCATGCCTGCGAAGCTCTGCTCGAACTGCTTTCCTTTTTATGTCGAGCAACCTTTACAAGTCAAAAGCTCTCATGGAATATGACACTATTGCAAAATGGGGCGGAAATAGTCGTCTGGAAAAGAAAAAGGAGAAAGAGTCCTCCATACTCGTGAAGGATTCGTCTATACGGAAGTCTTCGTGGTCCAAATGATTTCGTACTAGTCGTGAGTCTATATTCCTCCATGCTCATGAAGGCTATCCAGATCCAAGATGTGATATACAGAAGGATTTCACACAATTGAGAAAGAGCTGTTTAACATTGGCGATCAACCTTGGCCGGAAAGCTAGTCGTCTACCTGTTGCATGTCTGCTACTTTTGCCGTGGAAGTTTGGCCAGAACTGCTTCCACTTCATGTTCCCGGACGAAACAGCGTCGAGTTGCTGCTCCTCCATCCTGGCCGTGAAGCGGTAGTCCACATCCTCGGTGAAGTAGCGCGACAAGAACGCCGCCACCATCCGGCCTCGAACGCGTACTGGAGAGTACGTCTACGGCCTTAGCGTCGCCAGCAGTGAGCGAGAACTGGTCCAGTTTGACGCCGTTGTAGCTCACAAGCTGTGCCGGAAAGCTCACTTGTCCCTTGCTTTCTGTTGGAGAAATCTCTGCGCAGTACTCTCGAGGAGCTCTCGATCTCCTTCTCCAAGCCAGCAGCAGACTGGACTCTTCCAGCGGATTTACTAAGCCCCTTCTTCATGATGCCTTCCAGCTTAATCATCTCGAGAATGTGCCAGGCGATGGCTTCTACTACTTCAGCCTTCTTCTTGCTTCTTGAGGACTTACTTCGAATCTCCACCATCTTTTCCTCCCTTGGGAGGCTTCTTCGCGGCATTTGTAGTGTCGCTGGGCTTTTGTTCCACAGCCACCGGTTGCTGCTTGGATCTATCCTGGTTCTCTTCTTGCGGCTTTGCTGTCCGTTTAGATTTTCTCGCAGGAGGCTTCTTCGTCACATTGTCAGCCTTTCAGCAGTCGAGGCTTTCAAAGCCACTCCTTTCTTCCCTTTCCTTCGAAACCATCTTCTACTGCCTGACTGTTAGCAGAAGAGCATGCAATCCAATCCCCCTGGCTGGAATCTACTGCTAGCGGAAGAGCACGGATTTGTAGCCTGAAGGCTAGCAGGAGAGCACGGGTTTTAGGCCCGACCGATCCAATTCCCCTGGCTCGAAAATCCCATCTGGGGCAATGGAAGGCAGGAAAGGGAATGCCGAGCATACCAGCCGTGAGTCTTGGCGCTGATGCGTTAGGAGGCAGGAGTCGCCCGCGCGCGTCGAGGGAGTGGATAAACCCTAAGCCCTAGGGCTCGGAAATCTGCACCGTTGGATTTTAATCACTTGGAATTCCGGAGTGGAATGTGGTGCGAGCTCTATACTGGCAGTAGTATAGCTTGTGGGAGCTTCGCGCGAGGTGAGCTAGGGTTTTGTGGATGTGGATCCGGGAGCGACGCGATGGCGCTAGAGGTGTGACGCAGATCTAAGGGGGTTTATAGGGTTTTAGCAGCGATGGAGTGGACGGCGAGGCAGTATCTGGAGGTCCAGGGAGCCGAGGGCGATGGAGCTCGGCCACAGTGTGGAGCATTTCATCACTCGCAGGCGCTCTTCGCGGCGGCGGTCGGGCAACACATCACTGGTGAGATTTGCGAGCTAAATTCTCCGAATTGACGCGAGGATTTCGCGTGATCCGGAAATTTTACTAAGAATGTGAGAGGGTTGGCTGATCATGGTGGATTTTCTTGCAGAGTTTGATGCTCTCACGGGCTGTAAGCTCTCGAGCATCAATATTGGAGCTTCCGTCGTGCGTATGGCATATAGTCCTGCTGGCGGGCATGTAATTGTCGCAGTTCTAGAGGTATGATACAGCTCTTGGCATAGATCTTTTGCATGAATTGGATTCTTTTTTTTTCCTCCCAGGATTGGAGCATTAAGTCGTGGGATCTAGATACCGAGCACACGCATTTTCTTTATTCTCCAGCTAAGAAAACAGACAGGATCTCAGAAGGGATGGAGATACACATTGCTCTGACACCACTTCGACCGTGGCTATTCTTTGGAACGTATCGGCGTTCAAGTGTAAATGGTAAGTTTTTTTCTTGTATGAAGATAAACTATTTGATGCGTCACGTTTGGTTGTAGTTGTGGGGACTATAGAAGGTGCCAAACCAGCGACCATTATTAAGACGGATCTGAAAAAGCCAGTCACTGGCCTTGCTTGCCATCCAAGAAGTCCTCTTCTGGTACCTACATCTTTTCGTTAGATTTTTTCGCATTTTTGGTAATTCGGATCTGTTTGGACAGTTCGTTGCGTATGCCGAAGGGCTTATTCGGGCATATCACATACAGTCTTTCACCGTGCAGTATACCTTGCAAAGTATGTTCCTTCTATGTCTTTCACTCAAGTATTTGTAACCGAACCATTTTTGCAGTTGACACGTCAATAAAACTAGTTGGAGCAGGAGCGTTTGCGTTTCATCCGACTTTAGAATGGGTTTTTGTTGGCGACAGAAGCGGCACACTAATAGCATGGGACGTCTCAGTTCCAACACAACCCAGTATGATCGGGATGTAAGTACAAGTCTACGTGTTTACTTCAGGATGCTAAATGTTCATTGAACTTGGCAGCACTCAAGCGGGGTCAAATCCAATTTCAGCTCTTTCCTGGCATTCTATGTTGCGGTTACTTGTGACTCTTTCAAGGGATGGCATGGTGCAGGTGTGGAGGACGAGGGTCATTCTAAATTCGAATAAGCCTCCCATGCGTGCGAACTTCTTCGAGTCTGCAGGTAACATTGTACTGGTTATTCAATATACGGGTAGTTTTATTAAGTCCTCTTTGTTTTCTTTTTCTTCTAGGCGTTGAAAGTTTGGATGTTGCTAAGGTTCTGGCTCAATGTAGTGGCGACACTATATACCCTGTCCCGAAGATTACTGATTTTCTCCTACATCCGAAGCTGAATTTGGCAACAATATTGTTTCCGGTACGCTATATAATAGAGTGCTTACGTGCAGCTAAATCTTGTCCTTATAGAGCAACAGTAGGAAAGAGGAAGCGAGAAGAAGAGCATCAGCTGTGTCGAGGGAAGCTAGGAAGCAGCTATTCTCTGTGCTTCAAAGTGCTAGAGGCTCTCCAGGTTGGATTTAGCATTTGTAGAAATGATCTTGAGCTGATATTTTAAGATTTAGGATCGGTCTTGAAGGAAAAACTTGCACTTTTGGGCTCGACTGGCATTGTACCCGATTATCAGCTGCAGATGCAATTACAGCAGGCGAGAGGCCAGCAAGGGTAAGCATCATACCATTCATCAAATACAGTAATGACGTCTCTTTAACAGCCTGACAATGTCGGACCTCGCGCGAAAGGCATTTTTGTATGGAGTAAGCACACACTATGTTTGATGCCATAATATTGACATTTCACGTTATTTTGGCAGAAACATGGAGGGGAGCCAAGAGACACTACTTCATTTAGACTACCGCTTTTATCCATTGCAGATCCGAGTCATCACTTGCGTGATCTCCCTGTTTGCCAGGTACTAAACTTCAAGCATTAAGTATTTAAGACTAATTTCTGTTTTCTAGCCATTGCAACAAGACCTTGGGTTCTTTACCTCTGAACAAGGCATATTCAATTATCCTATCCGTGCTTTTTTCATGGACGGTTGTAACCTTTCTGCTTACAATCTTGCATCTGGAGACTATAATATCTACAAAAAGCTTTCTCCGACCGTAAGCATTGAGTTCAATTGGCTGTAAAATCGTGTTGACGTACCTTGCACAGGCACTTGGAGGTCAAGAACGGTCGCCTACTCACATGCTATATAGTTCTCGACAGCATCTTTTTCTTATATTCTTTGAGTGCCGAGGAGCCATTGGCGAAATCGTTATCTATCGAGAATCCTTAACTGCTGAAGCTGTTGGTGAACGTTTGAACACTATAACAGGTTCAGTCCGTTTTCGATCTCGAACTCTCTGTTTCTTACATTTCAGTTGCAGGCCGCGATGGTGCTTTTCTGGGATTTAAGGAGGACAAGTATGCAATTCTTGATGAAGACGGGGTTGGATTGACTCTTTATCCTCTTGAAGACGAAGTTAAATCAGCCACATCCAATGGCGATACAAATGGTGCTTTAGACGTCAGTACATTTTCAGAACTTCATGCAAAGGCTCAAACGTACGAGAACGGACAGAAAGGCTTGATACAGTTTGTGTTTGATAGTCCCGTGCAACGCATATATTCTACTCCCTTAGGTTCGATCTCTTATACTTCCTCTTTTGTACTCACACATGGGTTTTCAGATTCTCTGTTAATGTATGTCTCCTCTGGGAGTCATATAGGACTGACACGAATATTTTCAAGTGGTTATGGAGCCAGCGGCGACATGTTTGAGCTTTCTACGAAACAAGAAGACGGTCGCTTCTTGAAAATCAGGCAATTTGAAACGGTTTTGCAGGTACTCGTAATGTGTATCAATCTGTTATATTTTTCTGATTTAATTTTTTCCTTCACGCAGGTTCGTTGGCAGGAAACCATGGTTGGTCAGTTTGCTGGAATTCTTACGACTGAGAGAGTCATGATCGTCTCTCAAAATCTTGAAGTCATCAATTCTACGTCTGCAACATTTGACAAGGGATTCCCTCCAATATCCACCAAAATATGTTTTTTGTTTGTTGTTTGCCATGTGTTCAACCTTAACTCTTTAATACTTCAGATCTCTAGTATGGGTTGGACCGGCATTACTGTTTTCAACTCCGACGACCGTCGCTGTACTTGGGTGGGATGGACCCGCGTGTGCAGTCACGACGCTAGCAGCGCCAAATTCGGGTTAGCCAGTTTCATCTGATTTCCTCTCATTGCCTTGATTTTCTGTCTTTAGTGCTTGTTGGGACGCTGAACGATCGCCTCTTACTGGTCTGCCACAATGATCCAAGTCCAAGACAAAAGCAACTTGTCGAAATAAAGACCCGTTTAGCAGGTCTTTTGGAGCCACTCCTGATCGGATGGACAACACTTCAAGTCAAACTTCAGCCTAAACTTGATCTGTCCGAAATCCTGTTTAGACTGACGTCGAGGTACTTCCTCCTTTGTTTCATTTCTGATGTATTTATCGTTTCTTACAGGTTTGATAGTCTTCGGGTCACACCGAGGTCACTTGATGCACTTGCACGGGTTCCATCCGTCTGTGGAGAGCTCGCTGTTGAACTTTCACAAGCAGGGCCACAGTTTACTCAGGTATATCATCTAAGCTTGAGTTACTTATTCCGAATTTCATGCTACAGGAATTGCGATGCAAGTATGCAGTAGTCGCTCGCCGGTTTCAAACTGCTCTTTCCATTTTGAAAGATGAGTTTCTTCGATCTCGAGATTATCCTCGTTGCCCTCGAACTTCACGCTTGTTCCACAGATTCCAAGGGCTTGGAAGAGAATGCATTAAGTAAGTTATCTTCGTTTCTTTCTTGTTTGGTAGATGACAAGACTTTGTTGCAGGTTTGGTCAATTCGACCAAGCGAAAGAAGTATATGAAGCCGTCTCAGATTATGAGAGCATGCTGGATTTATTTATATGTCACTTGAATCCCAGCGCTCTAAGAAGGCTAGTCCAAAAGTTAGAGGAAACAGGCGTCGAGCCAGAGCTGAAGCGGTTATCAGAAAAAATACTTATTGTCCGATCTTCGGGATGGGGACAAGGTGGTGTTTTCGCAAACTTTGCTGCTGAAAGTCTTGCTCCCAAGGGCCCAGAATGGGCTGGAGGTAACTGGCAAATCAAAACGTTCCCTGAAGTGAAGAGTTCTCGGGAATGGGAACTGTCTGGAGAAGTAACTGCGTACATGAAGACTCCTAGCGGACCTATTCCTACGCTTATTCCAGATCACATTGGAGTTTACTTTGGTACGTTAAAGGGTCGGGGCTCCGTTGTGGAAGTACGTGACGATGCGTTAGTGAGAAGACTTACAAACGGGGAAGCTGACATCGAGAAACCGGCACCAGCTCTGGCATTACCTTCAACAGAGTCTAAAGCTGCCGAAGACAGTTTATTGAACAAGATCAGAGCTGCAAAGAAAGACGACGGGATTGTTGACGAACAGGCAAAGGCCGCAGAAGAGTTCAAGAAAGGATTGTACGGTGTCGATGGTAGCAGCAGCGAAGAGGATGAAACATCTACCACGAAGAAAAAGATCAGAATTAAAATCCGAGACAAGCTGGCTACTACTACTGTGGACGTGGATAAAGTGAAGGAAGCTACGAAGCAGTTCAAGCTGGCAGACACCTTACCACCACGTACAAGGCGTGCTTCAGGAGGCTCACAGGGCAGTTTTGGCAGTAGTGGGGGAATTCAAGACATTCCGATCCAAACTACGACAACTCAAACCAACACCGAGGTGTTCCCTGTGATAATGGGAATGGGTGTATCAGCTGCCAGCGGACCAATTCCAGAGGACTTCTTTCACGCGAATGGAACAGGTCAAGGCAGTGGTGCTGCGCAGCCTCTCACTGTCAATATCACTCCGGATGGTCTCACACCAGGACTTTGGACTTCAAATGTTCCTCAAGTCCAAAATATGGCCGGTGCACCAGGAGGCATAGTGGGCGGTCCTGGCATTATGTCGAATGGCGTTCCTCCTCAAGCTGATATTTCCTTACCGGATGGTGGTATTCCTCCTCAAAGCGGCGATCTTTCCTTACCGGATGGTGGTGTCCCTCCGCAAGCTGCTCCTCAGACTGAAAAGACCAGCACTGCTCCTGTCAATCTTAACTTTGAGTCTTCGATGCCTGCAGCTGCTCTAGGAGTTAAAGCTCCTTCACCTCCACGACAATGGAAGCCAGGCCAAGTAACGTGCTCTTTTATCCTTTATATTCTTGAGCTAATTCGCTTGTCTTTCTAGGTGCCGCGTGGAGCTTCTGCATCAACGTGCTTCAAAGCTGCCGTTGCACATCTGGAACAGAATCAGCTTTCTGATGCCATGTCTTGCTTGGATGAATCTTTCCTCGCGCTTGCTAAAGATCGATCTCTCGGAGTCGACGTCAAGGCTCAAGCTAAAATCTGTTCTCAGTACAAAGTTGCTGTTCTACTTTTGCAGGTAATACTTCTTTCAGTAGTTGCTAATATAACTCCTGCTGCTTTTCTTCAGGAAATTGCCAAGCTGTTAAAGGTCGACGGAACAGCGGCTGTTGGCGCGAAAGACGAAATCGCCCGACTGGCAAGACACCTGAGCACATTACCATTGCAAGCGAAACATCGGATCACTTGCATACGGACAGCTATCAAGAGAAACATGGACGTGCAAAACTACGCCTTTGCAAAATCACAGCTGGACTTGCTACTTTCGAAGGCTCCTCCCAACAAGCAGGAAGAACTGAGATCACTCATTGCTGTTTGCACCCAGAGGGGATTATTCGACAGAACAATAGAGGACACAGAAGATCCCGCACAGTTCTGCTCTGCAACACTGGGACGACTGCCAACCATAGGCCACGACTCTTGCGATCTTTGTAGCGCTAAGTTTTCGGCCCTGACGTCTCCAGGATGCACCATCTGCGGCATGGGTACCATCAGACGATCAGATGGTGTTGGAGCTCCTGTTTCATCACCTTTTGCTTAAGTCGTACTTGGAAGCTCCAAATTTTGGCGTGAAAAGGCTGACGTGAGGACTTAGTACCGGGAGGAGGACTTAGTAGCGTGACCAGACCTTACAAGCAACAGAATTTTCATCTTCCAGGTGAGTAAACATCCTCTCTATGTTATTGCTGGTTTTAAAGCTGTGTACATTCGCTTGCAGGAAACTTACTCCATTTTGTGAGAGTGTTTGTACAATGCGTAGGACGAGTGAGTTTTGCTGTATTCTTTTCGTTGTGATTATTCATTTTTATCGGCCTCACTGCTGTAAGAGTTAAACCTTGTCTTTTGTTCTGCCATGAGCTCTACTTCAAGTGTCATTTAGTAATTCATGTGCGTAGTGGCTGCGACAAGATCCGAGACAGTCGTCGCAACTTTGCATTTTGGAGGTGAGTTGAAGATAACGTTATGTACCTTGTGCTCATAAATCTTTCCTTTACTGTCCAGTTTGTACTCGGAAACGCCGTCGAAGAGACCTCTGGCTTCCCACGGCACTCGTGGAATGCCGCGAACAGACCATCTGATCACAATAGTGCTCTCCGAAGGCTGCCAGACGCTCAAGATTTCCACCCAGATCGACTTGAAGAGCATTCTACCATTCAGCCGGAGCACCTGTACAATAAACTTGTAGTTCCCAAGTCCGTGAAAGCAGTTCACTGGATCTCTGAAAGAGATGTCCTCTCTGCACCAAATAAGGTAAGCCACTCTACCTTTACTTCATTCTCATCTCCTACCTGTATATCTGATAGCTCAGATCTCTGTGGAACAGAACAGGCAGCTCCTCCCGCAAAGTCCTGATGGCATAGCCTACGTTGACATGGTAATCCAGACTTCCTTGCTTGCTCTTTGCTACTAACGGATCCTCTACTTTGCTATTCAGCTTGGTCGAGAGATTGCGACACTGCACTCGCAGAGGTTGCTTGAATCTATCTCCGCTGCTGTGCGCCAAGCTCGGCGCTACCTCTACTGGAAGCAGCTTACTACACACCATCTCGTGAAGTTCGCTAGGAAACCGTGGAGACTCGTTTGCATTCGATCTGGGAGAGGACTGTGGATATGGATGGGGGTGGATTTCAGAGAGATACTGAAGTAAAAGAAAGGTACACACGCTAAAGTTTGCGGGGTCTACTGATATTGACATCTTACAGGAGCCAGGAACTTGAGGCGCTGGAAACGAAGATGGGTGTTTCGGTTTGGATCTTCGTCCCAAAGTTGGAGTTTGATGGATTCACTGGTACGAGCAAAGAACTCCAGTGATAGATCCAGCGAGTTGGTAGCGATCCAGCGAGCTTTGACAGGTAAAAACTTCGTTTTTAATCGATGGGTTTCTTTTCCTTTAGATCACATTATCGGTTTAATAAAGGTCGGGGTTTAGGGTTCTTGGCAGGGAATGGAGGTCGTGACGAAGATCGAATTCGCGGCGCTGGAGCCAAAGCTTTCGCCGGAGACGCTCCGGGTGTTAGAGCAGCAGCTTGGATTCTCGCGCGCGACGCCAGTCCAGGTCGCGACGATCCCCCTGCTGTGCAGCTTCAAGGATGTGGCCGTGGATGCCGCTACTGGATCCGGGAAAACGCTCGCGTTCGTGGTTCCTGTCGTGGAGATTCTCCGCCGCCTCGCGACGCCGTTGAGGAGGAATGAGGTACGCAGGGATTTCTTTGCTGGAGATTTTTACAAGAGAATGTGTAGGTGGGAGCGATGATAATCTCTCCAACGAGGGAATTGGCTTCTCAGATTTTCGGTGTCGCTCAAAAGTTTGTGAAAACGTTGGAAAATCTCACGGCATTGCTGCTCGTGGGTGGAACCGATGTCACAGCTGATCTGGAGAGAGTGAAAGAGCAAGGCGGGAATGTGCTCATTGGAACACCGGGACGACTTCATGATATCATGGAGCGATCGACAGCTTTGGAGTTTCGGCATCTCGAGGCAAGAACTTCTGATCTAAGTTCTCTTGACACGATAACATCTCTTTTCATTGTTTCTTTCCAGATTTTGATCCTCGATGAGGCTGACAGGCTTCTTGACATGGGCTTTCAGCGGCAAGTATCAGCCATCATAGAACTCTTGCCAAAGCAACGACGAACGGGACTTTTCTCGGCAACACAGACGCAGGCAGTGGAGGAGCTTTCAAAGGCCGGGTTGAGAAATCCTGTAAGAGTGGAGGTTCGCAGTGAAGTGAAAGGAGCGTCGACTACCTTTAAGACGCCTGCCGGTTTGAATATTGAGGTATGCTTTGGCTTTTATTGCTCTTGCGATTGTTCTTGCTTGTTTCGTTCAGTACCTGGAATGTGAAGGTGAGGAGAAATCTTCGCAGCTTGTCAACTTCTTGCGAGAGAATGCCTCCAGGAAAACTATTGTGTAAGTGATACAGGTTTATGCTTCTTGTATTTATTCTTTCCGACTGTTTTGTCTTTTGATAGATATTTCATGACCTGTGCTTCTGTCGATTACTGGGGCACTGTCCTTCCTCGGCTCAAGACTCTCAAGGATGTACCGATAGTTGTACTGCATGGGAAAATGAAACAAGTATGTAAGTGTTACATTTTCTGTTCCTATTATTCTTCTCCTTACACTTGCGGAGCTGTTTTTCAGAGTGTCAGAGTAAAGGCTCTAGAAAAATTCACCGCTATGCCTGCGGGAGTGCTGTTTTGTACAGATGTGGCTGCTCGTGGACTGGACATACCTGGGGTGGATTGGATCGTGCAGGTATTTGAAACCTTATCATGATATGTGGTTTTATAACATCGTTGTTCTTTCGCGTGACAGTATGATCCTCCCCAAGACCCAAACGTTTTCGTTCATAGGGTCGGCCGAACTGCCAGAATGGGAAGAGCGGGAGATGCTTTAGTTTTTCTTCTTCCAAAGGTGAAACGAGTTTTTGTGGTTTGTTTGTTTATAATCTGGGGCCATTTCGTAGGAAGACGCTTACGCAGAGTTCCTTCGTATAAGAAACGTCCCGATAGAAAAGAGAGAGAAAACTGAAGTGCCTGATATTATACCCAAGGTTTGCTTGACTTCGCAGAAGGACAAAGTCAGTTTGTTGTTCTCGTTCTGCAGTTACGGGCCGCTGCTATGAAGGATAGGGACGTGATGGAGAAAGGACTCAAGGCATTTGTGTCCTACTTCCGAGCGTACAAAGAGCACCACTGCACTTTTATCTTCCAGTAAGAGTTGTCTGTTTGATCGATCAGTGACGAGAGTGAACTGCAGATGGAAGCAACTGGAACTTGGAAAGGTCGCCATGAGCTTCGGTCTATTGCAACTCCCTTCCATGCCAGAACTAAAGCGTGGTGTGCTCACGTCGCAGCATTTTACTCCTGTGGAGAACATTGACGTCGATTCCATTCCATACCGGTACATGTTAGTACTCGCTTTGTTCCCATCATGAACGTTGTCATTCTCAGGGAGAAAGCTCGGGAGAAGCAAAGGAGAAAAAACCTCGAGAAGAAACCAGATACGTCGAGGAGAGAAGAAAGAAAAGCTCTGGCGCCATCGAAGCACCAAAAGGATCGTCCCGCGAAGAGAACAAAGAAGCGCTCGCACAGAGATAGAGAAGAACTGGAAGAGATTAACAGTGACTACAGGCTCTTGAAAAAATTGAAGAAGGGATCCATCTCCGAGAAAGCATACTCGAAGCTGATGAGCTTGGAAGGCGATGTATGAGAAAAAATCGTTGTTCCAATCAAAGAAATATCACAAGGTTGGGTTTGATCCAATAAGACCAAGGGATGGTTTGCAGCCGTTGGATCTTGAGCGTACATATTGACCGTTGGATTGGCTTTTGAGTCGGTTTCTCTAGTGAATAACCCTAGGGCCAGTCGCGCCGCGCAGCTCTCGTCCGGATCTACGCGCCCCACTTGTAAGTCTCTCGCCAGATCTGCCGTGGTTGAAGCTCGATCCCTCCCGCCGTTTGCTCTTGCGCAGATTCTCGCGATGGCGGCGGCAGTCGATGAATTCCGGTGCTTCGTTGGGGGTTTGTCTTGGGCAACCACTGATCGCAACCTGGAAGACGCATTCAGCCCCTATGGCACCGTTATTGAAGCCAAGGTTTTCAAGGAAACTTTGAAATGATCTCTGTGTGGCTGGCTCTCTCTTTGGATCCCGTCCGGTTTTGTTACGCTCTTGTTCTTGCTACTAGAGAGTTGCTATTGTTCTTCTTTTTACAGGCCCCAAACAGGTAGGATACTGAGACAGATGAAACCCTTGGCCTCCCCAATCTGTCCTCGTTCTTTCCACAAGAAAAACTTGGATGTCTGGATGGTTGCAAAAGGATTTTTTGCTCAGTCTTCTTGCAAGCTTCTTTCTTTTTTTTTTTTCATTTCCTGCTTGCTTGATTTGCCTGTGTGATGCTACTAACGCAGCTTTGATGTTTTGTTTTTCGTAGAGCTCGTAGCTAGTTTTTGTTCGCTCGATTTGCAAAGGTTCTAACTTTTGGAACTCTTTTCTTGCTTTGTAGGTGGTGCTTGACAGGGACACTGAAAGATCTCGCGGCTTTGGCTTCGTCACCTTTGGCGACGAGAACTCCATGCAAGACGCGATTGATGGCATGCACGGCAAAGATCTGGACGGCCGCTCCATCACTGTGAGTAAAGCCCAGCCAAAGTCTGGCGGCGGAGGAGGCGGCGGCGGTGGCCGAGACCGCGATGGAGGCCGAGATGGGGGCCGAGATGGCGGAGGCTATGGAAGAAGAAGCGGCAGCGGCGGCGGCGGCGGCGGCGGTGGTGGCGGCGGTGGCGGCAACGGTGGCTGCTTTAAGTGTGGCGAGAGTGGCCACTGGGCGAGAGACTGTACCAGCGGCGGTGGCGGCGGCGGCGGTGACAAGTATGGTGGAAGCCGAGGCGGTGACCGAGGTGGAAGCGGACGCTACGGTGGTGGGAGTGACCGTGGTAACGGGGGGTATAATAGACCCCGTGATGGCGGTGGCCGGAGCAGGTCTGGGCCGTACGATCGCCCCGCTGGCGGGGGTCGATCCAACGGTGGGAGCCGCGGCTCTTACGACGATGGGTATTAAGTGGTGTTTGTGTGAAAGGAGGTGTGGTTCTACTTGTATGTTCCCTCTTTTAGCTTGGAAGTAAGCTACTTTGCAAGACAAATTTTCTTTTATAACTAGAGAGTATAGTCGTTTCGGTTATTCTCTTTTCAAATCTTGTAGGGCTTGACAGGATATTCTCTTTTATAGATCAGAATATGCTCTAATCATTTAGGGTTCCTGCTAAAAATGCGGTAAGCAGCATGGCGGAAATCCTCGATCCCTCGGTGAATCCCATCGCCAGGGCGAAGCGGGAGAATCTAGGGAAGAAGAATGGCGCTATCACGGAGCTCATTGCGGCGTTGAAATCATGCAGCAGCTCCAGGGATCTGGAGAGCGGGAGGAGAATCCACGCTCGCGCAGTGGAGGCAGGGAGCGATGGGAATCTCTTCGTGGCCAACACGCTGATCGATATGTATGCCAAGGCTGGGAGCATGCCGGATGCGCGATCGGTGTTTGACGTGATGAAGCAGCGAAGCCTTGTGTCTTGGAACACCATTGTTTTGGGGTATGCCCAGTGTGGCGAGGGCGAGCTAGCGCTGGAGCTCTTCGAGGCAATGCAGGGACAGGGATTTCTTCCGGATTCGTGTAGCATGGTGGCGGCGCTGAGAGCTTGTACGAGCTTGGCCGAGCAAGAACAGTGGCGGAGGAAGCAGCTTCCAAAGAAAATGGACAGAGGGATGGTTTTTCGGGAGGAGCGTGCTCTAGAGAAGGCCCTGGCTCTACACGCTCTTGCAGCGAAGAGAGGACACGAATCCAACCTCTTTGTGGCGAGCTCGCTGGTGAATCTCTACTGCAAAGTTGGCAAAGTCGACGAGGCAGTGAAAGTTTTCGACCGGATGAAGAAGAGATCGGTGGTGACTTGGAACTCGATTATCATCGGGTGTGCTCAGAACGGGGAGGGCGAGCTCGCCATGAGATTGTTTTCGAGGATGCAAGAAGAGGAGAGTATGATCTCGCCAGACTCTTGGACTTTCGTCGCTGCTCTTGAGGCTTGCATTGGCCTGGCGGAGAAAGAAGAAGGTACTCGCGTAAATGGAGAGCTTGTGAAGATGGAGAGCCTGGAAAAAGGAATGGAGATTCACTCCCAGGCTCGAGAGAGGGGTCATACAGCGGATATGTTCGTGGCCAACACTTTGATCGACATGTACTCGAAGTGTGGAAGGATTGTGGAGGCACTGGCGGTGTTTGACAGGATGAAAACTCGCGATTTAGTCTCGTGGAACATCATGCTACTGTCGCTGGCTCAGAATGGACGAGAACGCCTGGCCTTGACGCTCTTCCAGCTGATGCAACACGGAGATGGAAAGCCGATGGAACCGGACTCTCGAACTTACGTCGCGGCTCTCAAAGCTTGCAGCTCTCTGGCTGCTCGAGAAACACCATCGCAGATTGGAGGTGAGCTTCTCAAAGTTGTGAGTTTGGAGATAGGATTTGCTCTTCACTCACAGGTGCTAAGGTCCGTTTACAGGAAGGACGTATTCATAGCCAACACGCTGCTGGATCTGTATTGCAAGTGTGGACTACTCGTCGAAGCTCGTCGGGTCTTCGATGGTATGATCCAACGAAGCGTGGTCTCGTGGAACACCCTGATCCTCGGACACGCACAGAGCGCTCAAGGAGAAGCTAGAGTCGCTCTGGAGCTCCTGGAACAGATGAAAGGTAGCGGGATTGAGCCGGACGCTCTAACTTACGTCGCGGCTCTCAAGGCTTGTGGGAATCTAGCAGCTCTCTCGACCGGCAGGAAGATCCACAGCGAAGTAGCGAGCACTCCCAGGATTGATCTGGCCAGGGACACGGTTCTAGCAACAGCAGTAGTGGATTTCTACGGGAAGTGTGGGAGCATGGTGGAAGCTCAAGCAGTGTTTGATTCGATCCAGAGGAAAGACTCGGTGGCTTGGGGAGCTCTAGTCGCGGGGTTTAGCCAGCAGGGTGACACTCAAGGGGTGTTCCAGGTGGTGGAGAGGTTGAAAAGAGAGCGCGTAGCGATCGATGGGATCGTCTTCCTTCACGTCTTGACGGCGTGCAGTCACGCTGGATTGGTGGAGAGAGGAATGGAGTTCTTCCAGATGATGATCTCCGAGGATCACAGGGTGGTTCCCAGCGTGGAGCACTACACTTGCGTGGTGGATCTTCTAGCTCGAGCAAACCATCTGGAAGAGGCGGTGGCGATGGTAAAGAGCATGCCTTTCGAGCCGGACTTGACAGTGTGGACGTCGATCATGAACGCGGCGAGGAAGTGGAGGAACTTGGAGATTGGGAAGCTCGCATTTGAGGCGATGCTGCGGCTGGACGCTAGAGATCCAGGAGCGTACGCGCTCATGGCCAACACTTTCTCCGAGTCAAAGATGGTCAGGGCCGTTGACTGATATGGTCAAAGTTAAGATTAGGGTTCTTGGGCAACAACGAGATTTTTGGTTTAGGGCTCTTGGGGCAATGGCGGACGAGGAGCCGGCTCGCGCGCCCGATTCCAAGGACAGGCAACAGCAATCCAAGGCGCTAGACAAGATTACCGATCATGTGGAGGAGCGGCAGCTCGATTCTACGCGTGTTCAACAGGTGAGTGGAATTTTTTCTTCGAAATCTAGCGAAAGTCTTAATTTGCGACTGTTTTCTAGGCCATGGCTTCGATTGCGGCGACGTCTGATGCCGATAGAGACATCCAGAGATTAAGGTGCTGTGTTTCTCTTGCCTGATTCTTTCTCCTTTAAGTGTTTTTTTGCATTGTAGGGAGAAAGAACTCGCAGCTGTGAAGATAGATCCAGCGCACATTGACGTTATCGCGAATGAGCTCGAGGTATTCTTTGCGAAGTTCTTCCAAAGATCTCCTGCTCACTCTTGCAAATTCTTCCAGATTGATAGGAAGATCGCCGAGAGAACGCTGCGAGAGCACAAGGGAGACGCAGTAGCAGCACTTCGATCATTCCTCACTTGATAGCCTTAAAATAAAAAAAAAATACTACCCTAAACGAAGACACTGTTGCCCTTTGGTACATTTTTCTTTTTTAAGGGCTTGGCGACTAGCTGCTACTAGGGTTTGTGTTTTAGGGCTTTAATAATGTAAGGACGAGTTCGTTCCATCGTCGAGAGTGATCCACCCCGGCACGCCAAGCTCTCGCTAGGTCATCTCGCGCGCATCGATATTTCCTCCCTCCCGCGACGATTCCATTCACTCCAGCGCGACGATCAAAGCTCGCAACTATCTTCCAGGTATAAGGCTGCAATCTCCGGGCCGGCATCGTCTCCGCGGGGCAGGGTTTAGTGGAATAGATCTTTGCAGGAGCTCGCCAGGGTGATAATCCATGGGGGATGGCGCTACAGTCACCACCGCCGTCGATAGCTGCCTTTGCAACTATTCAAACTTCGATGACGAGCAAGTGATTGCGGCATCCGCGACGATTTCCAAGAATGTGGAGGAGGATTTGGCCGGGGATGGGATTCTGGCCAAGGAATTCCTGCTGGGAGAGGTGAAGAGGAGCGAGAGCGATGGGGATTTGCTAGGCTGCGTGCTGAGCTCCCAGGAAGAACTTGCCAAAGACTTGGCCGGGAAAGAAATTTTGGAGGAGGATGAACAGGGCAGCCCGGGTTGTGGAAAAAGTTTAACTGGGGTCGTGAGTACAAGTGGGGACGGTGGACGTAAGGCAAGACCTAAGGGATGGAGTAAGAAAAAGGGTGTTTCCGCGACTACCACGAGCATTATAGGCATAAGTGAGATGCAAGAGCCGACCATGACGCAGGAAGGTGGAATAGCTCTTTGGGTCAAGGTGCGTAAATTTCGATTCTTTAGTTCCTTCTTCTCAAAGTTCGTTCTTTTTCTTGGTGGGTATGTTGATTCTTTGAGTTCCTTTCATGCATTCGAGGCATCTTATAGAAGCTAGCATTCGTGCAAGGTCCTGGATCTAGTGCCTAGGGTAATGGATTTAAATCTCGCGATCATTAGTTGACCTGGCCCTGCATGAGTTCTTGGTGCATGCTTTTTGGGGCTTTCAAAGATGGATGATTTTGGTTCTTGTTCTAGAGTTGGAATTTCGCCTGGCAGTAAATTGTTGAGTCTCTGAGCTTTTTTTCTCTTTCTCCTTTTACAGTGGCGAGGGAAATGGCGAGCTTGTATACAGTGCTACCCAAGCGATTGCTCGTCCGCGACGGTGAGAGCCATGCCTACGTACAGCAAGAAGACATATGTGGTGGTGTTCTTTCCGAATTCTCGAACGTACTCTTGGGTGGACCTTGAGTATGCTTGCCATATCACGGAGAGTCCCGAGCCGCTCGCCTTTGGAACACATCAAAGCGGTAGAGATGCGGTGGAAAATCTCGACCTTCCAAAGCACCACATGCTCCGTGTCTTGGCCGCCAACATGCTTGACATCAGCGACCGCCTGCCCATTAAGGTTTTTCCTGAATAGTTTTTTGGTTTGGTTTCCCAACAGTGGTAATTTTGCAGGCAGTCGTAGATAGCGCTCAGAATGTAAACGCGTGGAAGACTTTTGCGAACCAGGCCGTGGAATCTAAAGAGTATTCAGACGTTAGCAAAATGCTTGTCAAGCTTTTCGGGGTGCGTAACGTAACGTTTTGAAAAAGGTGTGCTGCTTATGTCTTAAGGTAATTGCAGATGATCCAGCTAACGTGCTATAACGAGACATGGCTTCAAGAAAGCTTTAACAGGTGGAAGAATGACTGTGAAGTTGCTAAGAGTGCACAAACCGTTGAACATCTTAACAAGGTCAATAACGTGTGTAATACTTTCGGAACTTTAAATCTCGGTTTTCTTTTTTGTTTTGCAGGAGCTGGTAAACGCTGTCCTATGGGAAACTGTCCATGCTCTTTGGGATGCACCAGAACAGTCCGCTGTTGGAACAGAATGGAAAGATTGGAAGCGAGCAGTGATCGAAAACAGAAGCGTCTATCCGAGCATCTCGATGACGCCAGACTCGTCGCTGTTTGCGGATTCCGAGACTCTTAAGCGCCGGAGGTTGAGTTCGGACGCAGCGAACGTGGAGCTGGCTCTAAAGAGGTCGAAGCTAGATGTTCGGCGAAGATACCCAACGCAACTTATTCCCGTCTCAACCCCAGTGAAAAAGGAAGACGAAGTGAACGGCTACACTGCCGACAACCAACAGAGGCCCAAAGCACCATCCGCTGAAGTACTTACGTCGACACCAGCATCGGTACCGAAATCCGAGGATGACGACCTGTCTGGCCGCTCGAGCTCGCTGATAAATCAGTCTACAGCGCCTATCAGTAAGAGGCTCAGCTCGAACTACCAGCTTTGTGCTGCGTATATGGAGAAGAAGAAAAGGCAGTGCACCCGGTTTCCAAGCCAAGGCTCTCTGTACTGCTGCAAGCATATGAGTTTGGCTTTTGGGGACGGCATAGAAGGCGTGAAAAAACTGGAGTATACACCACCACCACCGCCGCCGCCGCCGCCGAAAGCCGTCGCAGCTACACCGAAGTCTTCGACAACGATTATTCCGAAAATGCCGGGTGATAAGATATGCGAAGGGATCACGAAGTATGGGAGGCGCTGCACGCACAGAGCCAAAGAAGATTCATTGTTTTGCAAGAAGCACAGTTTTGCGGACGCACCTCATTTAAATCCGCAGTTGGTAACCGCTGAAAGCTCCCAGAGGGCGACCGAAGAAAACGTGGAACCAGAACCTCAGCAGCACGAATTCAAGGAGGAAGCAGAAACAGATGCGAAAACACAACAAGAGCCTCCGACTGGCGAAGACGTTAAAGAAGAAAGCAGTCCCAGGAGAAGAAAGGTGACGGCTTCTATAGAGCGAGCGAGAAACTATAGTTGGCATCTCAAGCGGATGGGAAGAATAATTAGAAACAACGGGCCGGCAGCGACGCGGGTGCGCTGCCTTGGGAGGTGCGTAAATGGCGATCAGTGCTCTCACAAATCAAGACCGGGAAGTTTCTACTGTGAGAAGCATCAGCCGGATAGCAACTCGCAGCAAGAAGATGCGGCTCCGTCTGAAGTGAAGAAGCTGGACGAAGCACAAACTGTGCTTAAAGCAAAAAGCTGGCTCAGCAGGTATATGGAAAGTGCGAAAATGGAAGGAGCCAGTACCAGTGACACTACCGACTCGGCTGACAAGCTACTGGATTGGGTGCTTGCTGAAGCCTCCAAGGATATCCATGCTGCCACGGCACTGATGAAGCTAGTAAACCAGCGGAAGGACAAGCTCGGGAGGTTCTTGAAGCTTCAAGAGCGTGCGGAGGCATCGAAACCGACTCCAGAAGGGGCCGCGGAGGTTGAAGGCAAATGTCCAGAGCAGCTATCGGGTGACCAGGCCGAGCAAAAGCAGCAAGAAAAGATAAAGTGCAGCATCTGTGACGACGAGTTTGCCGAGATGGTGGAGCTCGGCAACCACTGGAAGGCTTCTCATGAGACAGAGGCGCACTGGTTCTTGAAAGGCTATGCCTGCAAGGAATGCAACAAGGAGTTTACGAACAAGTCGAGCCTGGAGAGACACTGTAAGACCGATCACGAAGCCTTGACGGACGTTCCCGCCGTTCACATCTGTATCAACTGTGACGAGCAGTTTCCACACTTCGAGGCTCTGTGGGATCACGTGGTGTCGGGACATTCGGATCATCTCAGTGCAATGCCAACACTCGCTCTACCAGCTGAGGATCCTGCGGAAGACACGAAGATGCCGGACGACGATCTTGTCACTGCAGAAGAACCATTCCCGGTACTTTCAGATGACAACCAGCAAGATTCTCTGGACGACGAAGACTTCATGGACATTCCTAGCTCGGACTATTCGGCTGACGAGATGGAAGCACTCGAGTACCTCGATGGGAACTGCTACTCTGTAGACAACGACGGCTCGGAGCACAAGTACACCTGCAAGCTGTGCGGGAAAAAATTCCGTGCGCTACCAGACTTGGGCCGGCATCATCAAGCAGTACACATGTCCTCACACGTTGGGACAATCTCGAAATCGAGAACGGGCGTGACTCAAGGCAACCGTAGTAACCGGAGGCGTGGAAAACTCAGCCAGCATGGGATGAACTCCATTCTTCGCATCAAGAAGGCACTGCACAGCGTGCAGCAACAGAAGAGCGAGAGATCGGAAGCTGAACGTGGGGCTGCTGCCAAGCTGCCTGGACCTCCTGGAGATGATGAAATTCTAGCTGCTGCTCGGTCTGCATGCTGCGAGGCACGGTTCTACCGCACTCTGGAAGAACAGTACGACTCAGTCCCCAAGGGAACGCACGCAAACGCTGTGAAATTGGCTGCTCCGCAGGAGATTGAGTGGGCTCGAGATGGTTTCACTTGTCCTCAAAACTGTACCGCTAGAGCTCCAGAGCGCACCTCGGAAATGAGGCTGCATGTTTTCCGGAAGGGTGCCGTTGCTGCGTCGGCCAGGAAAAAGAGCGTGGTTCTTTGCGAAGACATAAGCTTCGGGAAAGAGCGTGTACCGGTTCCTTGTGTGGAGGACGAAGAGACCGATCCCTGCAACTGCTTGCAGTGTAGGGAGGGAAAGTCGTACCACGTCGACTCTCTAAAACCGTGGGAGACTTTCAGCTACGTCACAGATCGTTTGCTTGATCCGTCTTTGGGACTTGATACGAAGGTTTGTTTATATTGGTTCTCAAGTTCTAATTTCTCGGTTTTCTGTTTTTTCTCTTTGTAACTTCCAGGATTCGCAAATCGGCTGTTCTTGCGGACGGGGTCGATGCTCATCAAGGTCGTGTGATCACGTGGAAATGTTTGATAGTGATTACGCAGACGCATGTGACATATGGGGAGAAGAAATGCTTCGGAGGTTTCCTTACGATGGAGAAGGCCGCATCGTTCTTCAAGTAAGCGTCATTATTCTACCTAGTAAGATAGCTCATTCGTTTCTTGTTTTGCAGGAGGGTTACCTCGTTTATGAGTGCAATACGAGTTGTATGTGCTCCGAGGAGTGTCCGAATCGTGTTCTTCAGAGAGGTGTAAAAGTTAAACTGGAGGTTTTCAAGACGAGGCACAAGGTATTATTTGTTTTCCTCGGTGAAGATGGATTAACTAAGTGCCTGTGTTGTCAAAGGGATGGGCTGTGAGGGCCGCTCAAAACATCTCCCGTGGAACGTTTGTTTGCGAGTACCTTGGTGAAGTACTGAACGATCAAGAAGCAAATCGGCGAGGAGAAAGGTGATTGTTTTGCAGATCTGGATTCCGGATTTCGTCTTACACTTTGATTGGACAGATACGATCAAGTTGGTTGTAGCTATCTGTACGACATTGATGTGCACTTAAACACCGGAGGGAGATCTCGAAGGGGACCAAGCAGAGTTCCAAGAATAAAACCGTTTGTTATAGATGCAACAAAGCATGGAAACGTTGCGAGGTTTATAAACCACAGGTACTGTGACGGCAATATCGTGGATGCGTTGCTGATTGAATGCTGGCTTTACGCAGTTGTTCCCCGAACCTTGTAAACTATCAGGTGTTAGTGGAGAGCATGGACTATCAACTCGCGCACATTGGATTATTTGCTAGCCGTGATGTAAGTACCGAGCCATGGGTGACAAACGGACCTCCACTAAGTTTTGTTTTTGTTTCTCGCAGATTCTTTGCGGAGAAGAACTATCTTACGACTACAGGTACAAGTTATTACCAGGAAGGGGTTGCCCGTGCCACTGTGGATCGTCTGGATGCCGAGGAAGGTTGTATTAGTGTTGTAAATATTCACAGAGACCAAAAGAGAAAAGCCTTTTTGAAATTCTAGAGATGAACAAGCTTTTGCTTCGGGACCTCGATGTTCGCCCACAGCACGTAAGTGGAAGCGTCTTTGGGTTCTAACTCGATTGCCTGCCTTGCAGCTCGAGCGCCACCTCTGCGGTTCTCGCTGCTCCCTCGGCAAGCTCCGAGCAAGCACTGCCAGTCGACAAAGTCTGGAGCGTAAGGCATGGAGCGAATGAGATCCTCGGCGTCTCTCAGGTAACCAGCCCTGCTAAGTATATCGATCATGCACGAGTAACTTTGTCTGGATGGCGGGACAGAATGCTCGAACATTGATCGGAAGCACGACCAGCCAGAAGCAACGTTTCCGTTGTGGTTGCAACCGAGGAGCCAGCAAACGAAAGTCGTCTCGCTCACCTTGGATCCCTCGAGAACCATCTCCTGGAAAATCTCCACAGCGCTACTCAGGCGTCCATTGCTTCCAAAGGCTGCAATGAGAGCGTTCCAGGAGATGGGATTGGGCTCCGGCATCAAGCGTAGCAATCGCCGCGCGTGGTTGAGAAGACCTTTGTTCGCAAACGCGGTCATCATGGCGTTCCAGGTGATTGTATCCCACTCCGGCATTTGGAAAAATAGCACTTTTGCTCGATCCAGATCCTTGTTTTGAGCGTGAGCTGCGATCATTGTATTGTAGGCGACGGTACCTCTCTCGGGCATGCAGTGGAAAACGTCCAAGGCTTCTTCCAGATGCCCGTTCTGGGCATATACCGAGAGCATCACATTCCAGGAGTAATAGTCCTTGAGCTTCATTTCTTCAAAGAGAGCTTTTCCCCTCATGACATGGCCAGCTTGGCTGAGGGAATACAACGTGGCATTCCACGTCACCATGCTCACCTCGGGCATTTGCTCCACGAAGCTCTTGGCCTCGTCGACGAGGCCGAGATGGGTGTAGGCCGAGAGCATCGCGTTCCATGACACGATATCGCGCTCGGGCATTCGATCGAAAGTTTTTCTTGCGTTTTGGAGATCGCCCTCTTGAGCGTAGGCGATGAGCAGCCCGTTGCTGGCGATCAGATCGACCTCCGGCATCGAATCGACGATGTTTTTCGTCTCGTCCAAGAGACCCCTTTGCACGCAGACGGAGAGAATTGCGTTCCAGGGCACCAGGTTCCGCTCCGGCATCGAATCCAGCAAGAAAAACGCGGCCTCCAGATGCCCGTTTTGGGCATATCCTGTGATCAGTGCGCACCATGCAAAAAGATCTCTCTCGGGCATCGAATCAAAGGTTTTCTTCGCATTTTCTATCTTTCCGGCTTGTGCGTACATCGCCAGCATCGCATTCCAGGACACTAGGTCAGTCTCCGGCATCGAGCGAAAGAGTTTTTCTGCGCTAAGAAACTGCCCGTTTTGGGCAAATGCAGTGATCATTGCGCTCCAGCAAACCATGTCCCTCTCGGCCATGAATTCAAACACAATACTAGCTTTTCGAGCATCACCAGACCTTCCGTACGCGGTCAGCATGGCCGTCCACGAGACCCTATCCCAAACCGGCATCTCTTTGTAGAGACGCTCGAGCTCTTCTAGATGGCCGGTAAGGGCATATGCCGAAAGCATCGTGTTCCAAAGCGAGAGGCTCTGCCACTCGGGCTCGCGCAACGAATCAAACAGATTTCTTGCTGCGGCGAGATCGCCGGCGTGGGCGTACGCCGACAGCAACGCATTCGCCGCCACGGGATTGGCGTGAGGGATCTGGTCGAACAGCGCTTTGGCGCGATCCAGAAACCCGTTTTGGACGTAAGCCGTGAGCATGAGCACCCAGGAGAAGGAGTTCCTTCTGGGGATTCGATCGAAGAGGGCGCGCGCCTCGTCCACGCTGCCCAATCGCCCATACATCTGGACGAGGAGATTGGCGAGGAAGGCATCCTGGGTGAGGAGATTCCGGAGGGAGATTTGGATTTGCAAGTGGAGGTCGCGCGCCTGTCCTATGCTACTGCACGATCGAATCAACCCCGCGCACTCGGCCTTGGTCGAGGGGAGAATCATTTACCGAATCTTTTTTGAATTTAAATTCGAAGGTTTTTGGGCGCTTGGCTATGGCTTCTCACGCGCAGAATCTCGCGGCTCTGTGGGAGATGGCCATCGGCCATGCGACTTCTTTCGGGATCAAGGCCGCGGTTCTTCTTAGAATTCCAGACATTCTCTCCGATTCTTTGGAGAAATCTATGAGCTTGGAAGAAATCGCGGCCCGGCTCCAAGGCACAAACATCCAACTAGCCCCTCTTCGTCGTCTCCTCGACTACTTGGTGGTGAAGAAAGTTCTTCTAAAGATTCAATCTCTGGAAGTTCCAGGCGAATTCAAGTATGGAAGCACCGAGCTCTGCGAGATGCTCACTGAATCGAAGTTTGCTCGGCTGCTCATGCTGCAAGACGAGGTCGTAACTTCAGGGTGGCATCACATACACGAATTCATACTTCACGGTGGCGAGGTCCCCTTCCAGAGAGCCCAAGGGATGTTTATCTGGGATTACATGGAGAAAAATCCAGAGTTTCTGGGGCTTTTTAGCCAGGGAATGGTAGCCATCTCCAATGTTACCATGGACTCGGTTCTACAAACTTATCATGGTTTTGATGAGATTAGAGGAGTTTTAGTGGATGTGGGAGGAGGTTTTGGAGCTGATATTGGCAGGGTTGTGGAAAAGTATCCCCACATTGCTGGTGTGAATTATGAGCTTCCTCATGTTGCCCACGCTGCTCCAGCCATTCCAGGTAAAAAAATATATACATCTTGTTGAAAATAATTTTATATTTCTAAAGGTGTGAGGCATGTTCGTGGTGACATGATGGAAAACATTCCACCAGCTGATGCAATTCTCCTCAAAGTAAGGAGCTCTCATAGGATATCAACTTTGATCTCTCTTTTTTATTATAGACTATACTACATGACTTTGACGATGACGAAGTGATTCTTGTTCTCCAAAACTGCTACAAGGCACTTCCCCATGGAGGAAAGCTGATAATTGTTGATATTGACATGGATCCAGCAGAAAGAGGACCATTCGAATCACTCAAATTTGCATTCGACTTGGTCCTCTTGGCCCTCACCAAAGGAGGCAAAGAGAGAACAAGCGTGCAGTTCACAGAGCTCCTCACTCAAGCACAGTTTAACAACATTAAAACTATAGGTGATGTGAACTGTCTCTGCTCTATAGTGGAGGCTCATAAGCTCGAGACTTAAAGCAAATTAGTGAGACTTACGGAAAATTTTTATTATGCTTTTCACTCAATTATCAATCATACCATGAGGAAGTCTTCTAGTTTGCCCATCTTTTCAAACTCCATACCCATAAACACGTCCACTCCGCCATCTCCCATACAGTTGGACAGCAAAACCACATATTCTTTCCTGTCATGCACAGCTGACGTAACGTAGTCCGGGTTCCCCCATCCAAAATCCAGCTTGTGAAATGCCAACTTCGACCATGGTGTGATGATCATGCCACCCGGCAAGTCAATGATGCCATGCCTGTCCTCGCACCAATCCACTACTGACCGCACATATTCCTCCGTTCCACGCCTAATGGCTGCTTGGACCTTTCGTACGCACAACGACAATGTTGCGTTGCAAAGATCCTCCACTGTGGTGTCGCAGGAGGGAGCAGCCACCACCGCGTTTCCAACGAAGTCCTTCGGAATATTTTTGACCTTGTGACGAACGTTTACAACCACAAAGAGGTTCGCCACCTTTGTTGTTGCATGGGAGTCATGCGAGGCTTTTGCTCGCGCCTGCCAGATATGGGCTGTCAAAGCTTCGAAAGATGAGCATCTGGCTATAGTGCCATCCGACAGCGCCTTTTTCTTTAATGAATCCAGCATGGCGGGCGTGAAGGAGAATAACTTAAAAGAAAACCCCGGGAGGAGAGATTTAGAAGGGTGATAGTGCGCTGGGCTGAAGATCAACTTGGCTGGGACATCAGGCATCGAAACGAGCTCGGGGTGATCGAGCGTTGGTCGGGGTGGATTTGAGCTGCGAAAGACGGAGCGATCAAGATTGAAGGTCATCGTCGCTGGGTTGAGATCCCCTCTTGCAGTTCTTGCAATGGCATCGTAAAACTCGCAGCCAGCGGTTCCATCAAAGATCGCATGGCTTGCTAAAATACCAACAATGAATCCTCCACATATGAATCTGGTAACCTGCAAGGTTGATGCAACTTGTAAGTGGAAGTAACGGAAGTTCATCCAAGAAGAAACACTTACTTGGATCGTTACGAGCGGAACGTCGCAGATTTCCATGGGCATTTCGGTAGGAAAAACGAGAAAGTTTCTCGCGCTTGGATTTGGCATTCGGAGGTCTCCAGCGTCACGAATCGTGGACGAGCAGCTCGCACTGGCAAACAAAACTCCAGCCCCGTTGCAGTCGAGCTCAACTCGGCCTTGCTCCTCGTTCACTCGGATCCTTCCGGCCACGAAGTAGTAAGGGACGAGAACCTGTTGCAGAGCATCTCGCACGACATGGGCAACGTTTCGGGTGGAACCCGGGGAGTCGACTTTGTAGGAGAAGAGCATTTCTACTGGGAAGAAGAGCTGCTGCTCGAGATTGTGGAGGAAGAGAGTGGTGCAAGGAGTGGAGATGGGAGGCTTCAAAACAGAAACCTCTTCTACAAAAACATGCTGACCCATTTCTTTCTCGATGGCAAAGAGTGTGATTTTGCTGGCTCTTTTATAGGTTGATTTTCTATACAACCATCCTAAAGTATGCAACTTGATAAACTTACGGAGAACTTGTGGCCATAAGCTGGACACGACATTGGAGTGTAGAAATCATTTCAGCCTGTAAATCACCCATGATGTTCATCACATCCAGAGCTTTACAGTTTGAGGACCCCCACATTGTGGCACGTCTTCCTCACGTAACTGTGACGACAAAATCCAGCCTTTGCCATTGACAAATGAGCATGCTCTTGCGGAAGCCGAGTAGCCAATCTAGCATCGCTCGTTCTTCACACTTAATAAGAATATAGATGTCGGTGCACGATGCAAGTACATCTCTAAGTACGGTTTAGCATTATAAATAATTTAGCATTATCTTTCTTCAAGTTTAAATTCTTTTATTTGCTGTATTCAAGAACTCTTCCAGTTTGCCCATTTTCTTAAAACTCATGCCCATAAACAACGGCGTTGCGAATCTCCTCAACCATGTCCCAGCACGGAGCAGACACCACCGCATTTCCAACGTAATTCTTTGGTAGATTTGCCATCGTGTGACGAACATTTGTAAACAGCCACAAAGAGGTTCGCCACCTTTTCTTTTGTTGTTGTTGCACGAGGCTTTTGTCTGTGCCTTCCAGACATGGCCCGCCAATGCTTCAAAAGACGAGCATCTGGCTATGGTGCCATCGCACAGTGCCTTTTTCTTGAAAGAATGGATGGTGGGCATGAAGGAGAATAATTTAAATGCGAAACCTGAGTGGAGCGATTTGGAATGATGGTAGTGCGCTGGGTGGAACATCAGGCATTGGAACGAGCTCCGGGTGACTGAGTGTTGGATCGTTTGGGCCGCGAAAGATGGTGCGACCGGAATTGACGTCGACGGAATGAGATCCCCTCTTACAGTTCTGGAGATAGCGTCGTAAAACTCACAGGCAGAGTTTCCGTCAAAGATTGCATGACTTGAGGAAATACCAACGATGAATCCACCACATAAGAATCTGGTAACCTGTAATTTTCATGTTTTTGGAGTAGATCAAGACCAAGAACTTACTTGAATCTGGTTCGTGGAGTGGAACTCGGAGAACACAAGAACCTCAGGCTGCGACACAAGAACCCATACAAAATTCTCACTAGATTTGTAGATACTGTCTCTGTGACTCTTTTATTATGATAAAATTAGGATATTGTGATTCTTCCACTTTGGGCAGTGAAACTTATACTATAAAAACACATTACCTCCAAGATCTTTGCTACACTTTTATCAACAGATCATCTCAATACCATGATGGGCACAGATCACGCCGTACGAAGCCTGATAAACGCTTGTACAGAACTCTCACAAGCGAACGAAATACACTCCCGCATTGCCCATCCCGACCGGTTCACCCTCAACATTCTCGTCCAGATGTACGGCAGGTGTGGAAGTGTCGATAATGCCCGCCGAATCTTCAATGAGATTCGACCGAAAAATCCATTCTCGTGGGTAATGATGATCTGCGCGTATACCAGAAATGGACATCTCAAGGAAGCGCAAAAACTCTTTGATGGGATGGATCAGAGAGACTTAGTAGCATGGAATGCCATGCTAGCTGCATATGCCCAAAGAGGGTACTTAGAGGAATCCATAAGAATCTTTGATACAATGCCCGAGCACGACCACTTTTCTTGGAACTCAATCCTTTCAGTCTATATGCTGAACTCAAAGGTACTGGAATCAGAAAGAATATTTAGACTTATGCCACAGAGGGATATTGTTTCGTGGACAACTATGCTTGGAGCACATACGCGGTCTGGACATTTGGAAGAGGTCAAGAACTTCTTTGACAAAATGCCTGAGAGAAACTTGGTGTCGTGGAACACAATGCTATCGTTATATGCCCAAGGCGGACATGTCTTGGAAGCAAAAATACTGCTTCACTCTTTTCCCGAAAGTGATGTTGTATCCTGGAATGCAATGCTTTTTCTCTATACCCATGAAGGGAATCTGGAAGAAACCGAGCACATTTTTTACAGTCGGATGCTTGAGTGGGACGTAATTTCATGGAACACGATGCTCACGGGATATGCGCAGAACGAGCATATGGAAAAGGCCAAGAGACTCTTCTCCTTGATTCCAGAAAAGAACATTGTCTCTTACAATGCAATGCTGTCTGCTTATGATCTCAACCTTACTGGTAGCAGCTGCATCGAGGAAGCCACCAGTCTGTTTGATCGAATGCAAGAGTGGGATATTGTCTCTTGGAACACTCTCCTTGCTACGTATGCCCGGAGAGGACATACTGATCGAGCTAAAGAAGTCTTTGATAGAATCCCACAGAAAAACCTGGTCTCGTATAACACTTTGCTCAATGGATATGCCCAAAACGGGCATGTGGATCTCGCTAACTCTCTACTCAACTCAATGCCAGAGAGGGACGTGGTGTCATGGGATTGCATGCTCTCGGCATACGCACAAGCAGGGAAGGTTGGCGATGCAAAGGCCCTCTTTGATCAAATGGAAACAAAAGATATCGTCTCTTGGAACTCAATGCTGTCTGCATATGCCCAAAACGGCCGTCTGGAGGAAGCCAAGAGCTTATTTGATCAGATGGAGGATAAAAACCTGGTAAGTTACGACGCAATGTTCTCAGCATTCCTTGGTGGCGGCTACATTGAAGAGGCAAAGCTAATGTTTGACTTAATGGAAAACCGGGACGTAGTTTCGTATAACTCAATGGTGGCGGCATTTGCCAGAAGCGGGGATCTTGTCGAGGCTAAGGCCGTGTTCCATGACATACCGTACAAAAATGTGGCATCTTGGAACGCTATTCTCTCGGCATATACCCAGCGTGGACTGGTCAACGAAGCAAAGAAGCTGTGGATCCAAATGCCGGAGCTGGACACGATTTCTTGCAATGCGATGTTGGCTCTGTACGCTCACCACGGCAGCGAATACGAATATGCCACGCATCTCCTACATTCCATGAAGATGAGCTCCATTCCACTGGACGAAACCTCCTTCCTTTGCGTGCTCGTTTCGATCAGCCGCACCGGGGATGTTGGATCTGGGCGATCGTGCTTCGCGTCCATGGTTTCGGATTTCGGGATGGCCAAGCCCGGGAAGAAGATCTACTGCTGTTTAGTCGATCTGCTGGGTCGCGCGGGGCACTTGCGAGACGCACACGATCTCGTCGCGAGCATGCCCTTTGTTCCCGACAGTGTGGATTGGAAGTGCTTGCTGGGATCGTGCAAGAGCCACGACAACAGCCGCGGAGGGAGCATGGCGGCGTCACAGGCCATGCTTGCCGATCCCCAAAACTCTGCTCCTTACGTGCTTTTGGCGAGCATTCACCATCGTACGGAAGTGGAACATTCAGTCAAAGGATCAGTCTAGAGGGGTTTTGATCAGATGGGAAGAACCGAGGTTGTGGGCGATCCCAAAACATCTCTAGCGGTGACCAATCTTGCGGATTTGTAACTTTCTCGGTTTTGTGCAATAGATCTAGACCGAGTCGAAACGAAAATCATGCGAGAATCTAGTGACTAATGTGAGCAAAACCACAGCGCAAGAGGGGATGCTTGGATCATCAGAAAGCCTTTTTGTCAGAGACAAGCTAATCTCTGTCCGCATCAAGTCGACTACAAAAACATCATCTGATCCAAAACAAAACCACAAAAAGGGAAAAATCTGTCCCAGACTTTGTGTAGAGCCTCTCAAACGCATCAAAGCACCGTCGCAAGAAGCTCGGATTGTAGGCTGGATCGTCTGTGGCTGGATCTGGCACGGCACGGCACTGCGCCGCCACTGTCGTGTTGTGAACTCCAGCAATGGGATAAAACGAAGAACATGGAGAGGAAGAAAATGTAGGGGAGGCTAGGGCTCATGGTTTTAAAACCTTAGGTTATCAAAACTCCACACCGGGTATCGAACCCGAGTACTACTCGCAAGCATATACCCGGCATATTCGACTTCTACCAAACCACAGAAGTGGAGAGAAGACTTTCCATTATTTAAGCAGAGCATGCTCGGTCTCCCTCGAAGCGCGCGTGATCACAAGGATCTCCATCGAAAGTCTGTAAGAATGCTCGCCTCTCCACCCCTGATCCACTGCTGGGCAGTCGCAATTCTCGTCTGGATCGCTGCTGCCGCTGCCAAGGACACGAGCCTCCACTTCTACATGCACGACAACATGACTCCTCCAAACCAGAGCGTCGTCATGGTCGCGGGGCCTGGAACCGCGGGCTTCGGCACCGTGACCGTCATCGATGATCCGCTCACTCAGGGGGCCGACGCATCGTCTCCGGCGATTGGAAGGGGCCAGGGGACTTGGATCGTCGCGTCCATGGACGGGAGGAGCTTGCTCCTCACTTTCAGTGCCGTGTTCCAGACGGGCGACTTCAAGGGGAGCACGCTGAGCTTCCACGGATCCGACGACACCTCGGAGGCTGTCCGGGAGATCGCTGTTATCGGAGGAACCGGCCAGTTTCGCAATGCTCGGGGCTACGCTACCATCAAGACCGCCTCTGCCAGTGGTGCTTCAGTCATCCTGGAGATCGATGTCAGGGTAAGTCACTGATTGGAAAGCTCTAGCACAGATCTTCGTCATCAAGAAAACCATTCACTCTCATTCTTTGCGCTCTAATTAATCGAAGTTACCTGTTTTTCCTGGCTCGCGTCTTCGTTTCTTTCAGACTCCAGTGACTTTTCTGTCCCGAAAGTTAGCATTTTCTCAAGGACCACTTGAAAAGGTTACCAGAATTTTCAGAAGAGAGCAGTCGTCTCACATCCTTGAGTAGTCGAGCACTAGCAAGAAAAAGAAGTCGTTAAGAATCTCTTTTCCGGAAGAAGGAAAACCATACTTTTGAACGGCACTGTCAAGGCAAGTATCGAGAGAAATCACAACTGCTGGCATTTGGTGCAAAAGCTGCAAAAGACTGTTAGCTCGAAAGAAAAAAATCGACCTTCGAGGACTTACAGAACCTGTGTTCCTGATGCTCGGTAGCTTTGCCGACAAATCCCTTGGCAGCCTTTCCAAGCTCTGCAAAATTTGCTAGAAATCATCGCTAATCGATCCAAATCTTGCGACCTTGCACGGCGACGAATCGTGAAGCAGCCGCATCACATTGAGCGTCGCCAGAGCGCACTGCGCGACAGGATCGAGCGCCGAATCATTGGCCGGCGCTGCCACCGCCCCACTCGCTGGCGCCATCGCCATGACGACACCACTATAGCTTCTGCCCTAAAAATCAAACAATAGGTTGGCCTTTGCTCTCTTTTTTATTCCCATTTTTTCGCAAATCTATATCGCCAATCAATCAGCCTGTAGACGAAATGGCCTTGGTCCAGCACCACACCTTGACATCCCCAGAACTCTCTCCGGAGAAAACCAGCCCTCCAGGGCCGCCTTGCAAAACTCTCACTTCGTCTCGAGAGAACAAAACTCCTCGCTCGTTAAAACTGCGAACAAAGCAGCGCATGGTAAGTTTGAGTGACTCGCAGCCTAGAGTTTGCTCGAGAACTTACGTTGGAAGATCATACAGTCTCACAGTGTTGTCGTTGTATGAACACAAGAGCACTGGCTTCCCTTGCGCATCGACTGTACCGCACAAAGCCAGAGCACCCTGAGCGAAAAGAGAAGATTCACGTAAACCAAAAGAACTTGCAAGAACTTGCAAAGCTTACATCGAGTTCGTCTCCCTGATCATCTTCAGGGTACGTGTAAGTGACTTCTAATCCACTTGGAGTGGCCGCCCAGACCTGGAGCAAAACGAAAACAGCGTCAAAACACATCGCTAGCAAGACTTTGAGATGACTTACTTTTATATACCCGTCCAAAGAACACGATAACAAAAATTGCTCCCAGCAAAGCAGGCTCATAACTACATTAGAATGGCCATGAAGAGTAAATAAGCACTCTCTGGTGGCGATGTTCCATACCTGTTCATGAAAATGTAATACTTTCGTTTTTTCACACCAAACCAATCTGATACACTACCCGAATGGACTTATCCGTGGACCCGGAATAGAGTCTGCCGCCAGCAGCTTGCAGTGTTACAACAGCACCGGCGTGGCCATACAAACCATACGCCGGCTGGAAAGCATTTACCGCCGTGTTGTATTTCCAAGCCAGAATGCTTCCGTCCTTCAAAACATCTTGTTAGCAAACCATCCACTTCGGTTTTGCTTTGAAAGATTGGCTTACTTACTTGAGAACCGGCAAACAAAGCATCCTCGCAGACAGCCAAAGCATAAACTTGACCTTTGGGGCCGTCCAGACTTTGCTGAGCGTTGGTTTGCATGTTCCACGCCTGCGAGAACAGAAGTTTATGCACGAGGCATCGAAGTTAGAGCACTGTAATGACAGAAAAAAAAATTCTCACCCGAACTTCGTTCGGAAGCCCCACAAACAGCCACCCAGACGCGATAAGTAGTGACTCCACCTCAGATCCCATAGGAACAGTGGTTGTACACTGCAACCAAAGGGGAAGAGATAGCAAAGTCAATACGAAAACTCTTATAAGCCTCTGGACGCAAACCTTTCCGTCGTCGCTGTTCCACACTTTGACGGACTTGTCCTGGCCTCCCGTGTATAACGAAGAAGATAATGCGATTCCTTTCACGGCCTGCGAAGAAGCAAAAGCGATCAAACACCGATGCGAAGAACAAGAGAACCGAGAAAGAGATGAGTCCGAGCCTACCTTGGTGTGGCCTGTGAGCTGGGTCATCATCTCCATCTCTGTAGTAGTGCTGTAGGAATGAAGAAAATTGCATTGGCTACCACGATTGCAGTCGCCTTTCATCCAAAATATACAAGGCTTGTCCCTGGGACGCGGTCTCCCACCGTCTGTGAAAATCCCCCGGCCGCCACCGCCACCGCCGCCTCTCCGCCCGCGAGGCTTCCCCCATCGCCGCCCCTCAACTACATTGTTGTGCCGCTTGCTTCCTACGAGAAAATTATCGCCATCGAGCCTCCCGGATGTTCCAGGGCCCGACGAGTGGAGCCACTGGCAGCTATCGCCCTTGTTGCATCGGCCTTCTTGCCAGTATCTACACACCTGGGGGATGCGATGGCTGGAAATGTGGCGCTTGCCGCCAACCCTAGCGGGGCCGTCGTCCACCTCCATGCCGGCCATCGCTCCTCATCGCCGCCATCGATCGCAATGCGCCATGCCCTACAAACCCTAGCTCTCGGCTCGTCCTCGCCTTTCTAGGGTTTTTCAAAGGGAATCATTCTAAATGCTTTTCGTGTTCTTCGAGCTTGCGTCGAGGGTTTTCTTTCTCTCTCTCGCCGCCCTCACACGGCGTGTTCTTCCGGGCGCTCCTGCCATCGATGCGTGCAGTGGCAGCACGCGAAGAAGAGGCTCACCAGCAGCTCGCCAGGAGGCCTGGCCTGGAAATTCCAGTCGATTAGCAGCGGCAATCGCAATCGCGGCGCGATCTAGATTCTTACCTTCCAGAATCTGGCCTCGCATTGCCCGCATTTGGGGCATCGCGCGTTGCGAGTGCGCGGGAGGATCGCGGGCATCGTCTTGTCCTCGGATGGCTTCTGGATCACCTTGTGGTATGTCACGTTGTCCGCGGCTTCTTCCTGCTCAATCGATTTGGGGCCAAGAATCTCACTGGGATTGTGATTTTAGGGGCGAAATCTCTCACCTTGTGAGTGCAATCTGGGCACGACCAGAGCAGGATCTTTCTCTCGGCATCTTCCTCGGGATCCAGAAGGCTCTCGCTGGAGAAGAAAGCACACAGGGTGAAAGAAAAGCTCCAAGATCTGAGGTACCAGTAGGGGCAAAACCGATTGACGCTCATCCTGATCCTAGAAGAACTCTTAAACCCTAGCTTTTACTCGAGCGCGGGAAATTTCTAGGGTTTTCTCGATGGCGGAGTTTTTGGCGCTTCGATGCTACGCGTGCAAAATGTTCCAGGTACTTGAGAATCTTTTTTTGAGTTTTTGATCGAGCTAACCTCGCGTGTGCTTTGCAGGTGAAGCCACGGAAGAAATCCAGCAGCAAATGGTGTTGTAGCGTTTGCAATGAGAAGCAATCGGTCACCAAGGTCTATGGAAGCTCTGGCGCTGCAAAGAAAATTCGAGAGCTGGTCCAAACGCTGAATTACTCCCCTCTAGCGCAGGAGCAAGATCACTTTGAGCCGAACGACGTGGGAGATCTCACCACACAAGAGAATGGACAAAGCGAAGTTGGAGAAAAGAATGTCCATGGTTACGAAACTAAGCCAAGCAAATGGGCCGAGTACTTGGAGACCGAGGTGAGTCTCTAGTTGATTATTTTGTTCTCTCTTTTATCTAATCGCAACACTTGGCAGGACTCACAGGTTGAATCTCGTGCTGGTGACGAGGATACGATGTACGTGACTTCTATCCCAGAGAGTGCCACAAAACGGAAAAGAACGGAGAGGTTGCACGACGAAGTAGCGTGTTACGAATGTGATGGGCTTGATGGTCCGCTCAAAGCACATTCAGTTTCAAGCGAGAAGAACACCAAAAAGACGACCATTGCGACTGGTAGTAAGCTGCATGGAGCTGGATACCTGGGAAAGGAAAATGTTCCTGTGAAGAACGACCTGAACTCGGGAAGATGGAGCAACTGCGGCACGAAGTCTGAAACAGGGACCTGTTTGGATGAGTGGAGAAAGCAAAATGCTGGTGGACTCCAGTCTTCTAGCACAACAAGGACAGACTCGAGCAAATGGAGGAAGTATCTAGAGACCGATGAAACAAAGCGCCAGTTCGTGGAGCCTGATACGGACAGAGCTCAGTCTTGTAGCAGAAAGTGGTTCCATCCGCAGCACCCAAGCGTGCCTGAAGATGCCTTGCACACAGAGCTCGCGGACGAACTTGTGACAGAGGACATTCATCCGTCGTTTCTTTAGTCAGGTGCGACAAGGTGAAGAGTCCAAGCCAAGAAAGAGTTCTCCAACTCGACTATTCCAACCTCAACAAACACAACCTACATTACAATCAGATCAGATCATGTATTGGTCTTTAAAACGAGGACGCCTCTACTAGTTCTGAGAGTGGCACATAATTTCCAGAAACTGCAATGTCTTGCTTTAAACTCCTGATCACACTTCTCCTAGCAGCGACATTAACAATGGTGAGTAAAGCTCAAATATCACTTGCTAAGTTGCCAAATGTTTTCCTTTCTTTCAACAGGCAATATCTCATGACGATCCAAAGTGCTGCAACAAGCCTAGAAAGCTGACCCTCAATTTCTACTTCCACATCATACAAGAGCAGACCAATTCCTCTCTCATCATCTCCATCAAACCTGCTGCTCCCAACTCCACAACTCTAGAGTTCAACTACAAGATGACAGAGGGCCCTGAATACAACTCAAAACAGATTGGAAGCTTCATAGGATTCCAGTCTGTATGGCGCCAAACACCAGACCTCCTCTTCATTACAGGCACATTTTATTTCACTAATGGATCATACTTTGAGATCCAGGGACCTGTAAACTTGCAGCTCCCCACTCAAAGACTCCCTGTTACTGGTGGAGTTGGTTTTGGTGGGTTACCAGATGATAACAATCCTGCAATTATCAATGGCATTGAAATTGCAACCCCAGTGCAAACTTATGGTCTCAACATTGTTGAGAAGGTGGTTACCAAGCTCTATATTTTCACCCCACCAGTTTAAATACCACTAGTTCAGTTCTCTTTGAATCTCTAACTTAATAAAAGAGGGAAAGTTTCTTGGTACATTATTGCGAACGAATTTTTTCAATATTTCACCAGTATTCGGACTTTAGAAGTGTGAAACAAATACGGCCCTTGGAAAACTCCCTACAGTACAATGCTTTCACGCTCATCCAATGCCACTAACATCAGTGGTGAGTGACTTTCTACGTCATAAAAAAGCAAACAAATACCTCGCATGACCGGGAATTTCATAGGCATCTTTTACTTCAATCACCTAATGGCAAAAATCCAGCTCTTTTAGTGGTATCCTACATGGCCGAATCTAACAAAGCTTCAGAAGAGGCTGTGTTAAAAGTTTGCCGTGTACTCCACTTCCACTTCGGATTTTCTCGATCCACTTGGCTGAAATATAAAAAGCCACGCGGCACTTTCGCATTGAGGTAAAAAAAGAAAGCCGCCAAATTACCTCGTTTGTTGGTTCTTGACTTGGCTTGCGTTGCGCGAGCGTTACGTGATTTAGGGCCGCAAGCGATGGTGGCCTGCGAGGAATAGTGAGGCTATATTTCCCCATGGAAAGCCTCGGCTGCAAAGCAGCAATTTCTCACCTCGGCTGTGCGGCCGCACCGAGAATCGCAAGATCGCTATTACCAGGTTTGCGGATCCCTGTAAGTCCCTTGAAGCATGGTAGATCCCTCTTGATCAGAGCTTCATCACCTGGAAACCCTGTCCCTGTAAGCAATGGTAACGGTCAGAGAAAGAAAAATGACGCTCTCCAAGAGACAATCTTTCAGCTAGAAGGGCTGTTGAAAGAACCTGGTGAGGTGTTGAATGACATCGGCGGACAGCTCTCGGCCAAGGACTTGCAGCTCGTTCTCGCTTACTTTGCGGAAGAAGGTAGAGATTCTTGGTTTGCGCTGGAAGTCTTCGAGTGGATGCAAAAAACCAACCGAGTGGAAAATGACACACACCAATTGATGATGTCGATCATGGTGAATTGGGCGATGAAGCTGGTGGAACAAGAGAAGCCTGTGGAACAAGTGAAAGCGCTGTTAGAAGACATGTACTGCGTGGGCCTCACTCCAGAATCGCGCATCATGCACTCTATAGTAGCTGCCTACTGGGAAAAAGGAAAGGCGTCCGAGGCACTTACTTTTGTAAAGGAGGTGATGAGCTCCAAGTGGTACCAAGACCGAGCTGACGATCCTCTACAATATCTCATCGTAAAGATGGTCTCCAGCAAACAATCCAAGCAGGCGATTCGACTAGTGACCGAGATCCGAAATGGTGGTCTACCGTTGAAAGGCACAACGTACAGCGCTGCGATGCTGGCTGCAGTTCACGAACAAGAGCAGCTGAGCTTTGCTGTTCACCAGCTGCGAAAGTATCAGAAGAAAGGCGTCATTAGCATCGAAGGCAGCGACAAGTCCATAAGAACTTACGAGGCATCGTTGCATCGTCAAGCCGAGCAGTTTACTCAATGGGCAGCCGAGGACGAGCAGTCGCAGGAACTTATGCCGACGATCTACGAAAGGCTGCTAGCAATGTACTGTCTGGCAGGCAAAGGTCTCGATGCGGAGCGTAGCTTGTGGAAGTTGAAGCTGGCAGGACGGTCCCCAGCTCCGTCCATGTTCAACACGATACTCGGCATATGTGCTTTCAATAACCGAGCCGAAGACGCTTATCGGATCTTTGGAAAGATGGAAGCGTCGGGAAGAGAAGCGACCAAGTTAACCTTCTCCGTGCTGATTGGAGGCTTCATCAAAGGTGGTAATCCCGCTGAGGCAGCTTCGGCCATGTCTAAGATGTTGGAGCGAGGACTTCGGCCGGAGGTGCCAGAGATGCTTGTCGTGCTGAGGTCTTTGCGGAGCGCTGACATGGTGCCGTTGTATATGACGCTTGCCAAAACTCTCTCCGACGAAGGACTGATGGAACCGCGCATCATGTACTTTTACATCGACTCGATCAAGCTCTGTATCATCCGCCTGTTGTGAATCCTTGTGAAAAGAAATAAACTCCCTTGACTCCACCTTCTCGCGCCTGGCTAAAGAAACGACGGATGAATGTCGTCTGTCGCAAGTTCGTCCGTGAGCTGTGTGCAAGGCATCTTCAGGTACGCTTAGATTCTCCGGAAGGAACCACTTTCTGCTAGAAGACTGAGCTCTGCCCTGCAAATCCGTATCACGCTCCACGTTCGGATCTTTGTTTCATCGGTCTCTAGATACTTCCTCCATTTGCTCGAAACTGTCCTTGTTTCAGTCCTTCTGCTAGCTCCACCAGCATTTTGTTTTCTCCACTCGTCCAAACCGATCCCTGTTTCAGACTTAGTGCCGCGGTCGTTCTTCACAGAGACATTTTCCTTTCCGCACGAGCTTCAAACCGTGAATCCTGCCAAGTGTTGCAATCAGAAAATGGAGAAGAGAACAAAAACAATTTACCAGAGAGACTCACCCCGGCCTCTAAGAACTCAATCCATTTGCTTGGCTCAGTTTCATAACCATGGACATACTTTCCCCACCTTCATACTCTTGTGTGGTGAGATCTCCCACGTCATTCGGCTCAAAGTGATCTTGCTGGTGCGCTAGAGTCGAGTACTTCAGCGTTTGGACCAGCTCTCGAATTTTCTTTGCAGTTCCATTGGTGACCGCATTGCAAACGCTACAGCACCATTTGCTGCTGGATTTTTTCCGTGGATTGACCTGCAAAGCACGCGCGAGGTTAGCTCGAGGTTTTCCATTACGTACCGTAACATCGAAGCGCCAAAACCTCGGCCATCACCCGAGAAAAGTTTGAGCTTCCCGAGGAGGAAAGTTTTAAGGCTGTCTCTTGAGGTAAATTCCTCCACTTCTTCTTCTCTTGCCGACACTTACTTGCGCGTTTTTGTACAGACGTTCTTTAGGTACTCCAGAGACTGTGAAGAAGATCCTCTGCAAGTGAGTTTTTTGTTCTATTGATCTGGAGATGGTTTATTTCTGGTGACTCTGCCGTGACTGACGAGCTCGTCGAGATTATCCGTGATTTTCCTCGAGAGTGGCGCGGCCGACGTGTTTCTAGATTTCATCGGCTGCTCTGGCGGACATTTGCCGGAAGAAATGCTTCTCAGAGTCCAGGCAAAGTCACAGACGCCCTCCTTGATGTGTGCCTGGAAATCGCTGGCGATCAACAGCCGCGAGGCAAGAGATTCTGTCGACTCAGCTGCAGGTGTTTCGACGTACTTTCTAGACTCTGGTGAAAAGCATTTGGCTGACCACCTCCATAGCTCCTGACGGTGGCGTCCACAAAACTTTCGAGTGTTTCCTTTCAGCTCTCGTGACAGAACTGCTTAAAGGCAAAACATAAGTTATGATCGAAAATATGGTAGCAAAAACTTTCTCATCAGAGTGCGGTATAGCCTTCCTTGTGCACAATTTGTGCTAAAGATGAATCTCCTGTTCTTACAATCCTCCCGTTGTCCTGTTCGAGTACACAAACACGAAGCATCAAGAATTGAAATTTTTTATGGGGCGTTTGTACCATGATATGGACATAGTCTGGGTGGATGTAGTCGAGTAGTCTTTCGTGGTGAGTGATCATCAGCACTGCATTCTTGCTTGTTCTGAGGCCGTTGATGGCGTTTGCCACATCTCGTAATGCATCCACATCCAGTCCCGAGTCGATCTCATCGAGCAGTGCCAAATCTGCTTCTAAAACCTGGCAAACGAAAGGTACGAACAAACGGTCTTCAAAAAAAAAAGAGAGAGAGAGAGAAAAAAAAACACAAGTCGCAGTACCGCGAGTTGCAATATCTCGTTCCTCTTCTTCTCGCCACCACTGAATCCCTCGTTCACGTTCCTGTTCAAGAACGTCGGGCTCATGTTCAGCGCTTTGAGCTTCGGCATAAGGTGCGCGAAGAACTGCAATAGCAGACAATCTCACCTAAAGTTCACCATCTACAAAAATCACACAAACCTCGAGCGGAGGAAGCTCCGGCTTATTCAAAGCCGCTCGCCTGGCATTGCACGCCATCCTCAAGAACTCGTCGTTGCTAACGCCAGGCACTTCGATCGGCGACTGGAAGCTCATAAACAACCCGGCATGACTTCTCTCCTCCGGTTCCTTGTCAAACAAATTCTCGTTTTTAAAACCCGCGCTGCCAGCAGTGACCTCGTAGTCGGGGTGACCAACGAGAACCTGGAAAACACGCATCAAACAAACGAGGTACAAAAAGAATAAGAGACCTTACCTTCGCAAATGTGCTCTTTCCCGACCCATTCTTTCCCATGATCGCATGGACCTGTGAGAGAGTTCACGCAATCAGCTCCACTACATTGCAAACTCTTCGCTACCTCGCAATGGAAACTAGAACGCCGAAAAACGCACCTCACCTTCGCGAATTGTCAAATCCACGCCTCGCAGGATCTCCGTCTCGGAATCCGCCACCCGCGCCTTGAGATCCCTCACCTCCAGCAGCACCGCGCCGGCCTTGCTCGAATCAGCGGAATCCCTGAGCTCCTCCTGTGCCACAGCCATGGCCAGGGCACACCCCGGATTCAAACCCCGCGCCAGAGAGATAGAGACACCACTCCGCCGCATTCCAATCGGCATCTGGACCACGGACCTCTGCGAGATCCTTGCCGACGGAGATTTCCTCGAGAATTCCGCCAGCGGCTGCGCCAGGGAGCTGCAGCTCGACGACGAGCACGCCATGACCATCACAAAACCTAAAACAGGGGATTCTACTTCCCTAAAGGAATCTCGGAACGTTTGCTTATGCACAAGAATATTCTTAATAAGGTTTTAAAATTTAGAAAATAGTGCCGTTGTTTCAGACATTGAGACTCTTCTTTCTACTTTTGTTTCCCAATGCTTGGCTACCTATGATCGAATTTACGAGTTGTGATATTATCGTTCTGTGCTGCCTCCTGACTCCTGAAACGGTAAATTGCCTTCTATCGTCACTGCTTTTACACGCTGTAGGAATGGTAAACAAAAGTTTGTAAACTCCATAAAGGTGGTGTGCCACTTCCATTGCATTGCATCGGTTCTAATCTAACAAGCGCTGGTTGACTACAAATCCGCGAGGGATGGCATTGAGTCGGGGCATCTCGGAGCACCCCCAGGTCATTTTTTACTCCCCACATCTTGGTGAAGCTGAGAATGCATCGTTGCCTCCATGGAAGAGCAAGCTCTGGGACGAGTCCGAGAAACCGGTGATACAAGCACAACCACTGGCTTTCTCATAATGTTTTTGTTCTCTCTTGGTGAGGTTCTAGACAAGAAAATTTGTTACAACTGGACGAGAACTCGAAATGTTTTGATCCTTCAAAGAGCTAATTGATTTTTGTGTTCTCATGCAAGTCTGGTCGGTCATTAATTCTGCGGCATTGTTTCAAACAAAAGAACTCCTGGAAAACAAATGATCAATAGGGACTGACAAGTTGCATCCTTAACAGCGCAAGTTTTTTTTTGCTTCACTTCCCACTCCATCTCAATCGCCTTCCTTGTTGAGCTCTTTTATATGGGTTTATACCTGGTGATTAGTATGGATGTGTCTTCGACACACCTTATGTTGAGAAGTTTTAGGATTTTTCTTCTTTGACTTGAGATTTTTAACATGTTTTCTAGTGACATAGTGTAGCTATATAGAAAGTGTGTGGGTATGGATTTCTTTTGGCTTTATTCTTTCCCAGAACAGCTGTGCAAAGGCAAATTGAATGTGAGCCTTATATAATGTGCTCAAAACATGAAATATGGAAGTTCTGTGACTTACAGAGGAAAGTTTGAACTACTTTGCAAACCATAAATCTATTTGTGTTATTACCAGCAAGCCTGGTTGGTGCTTAAATTCTCATGGGTTGAGAATTTGAGAATTTACTCACTCACTTAGTATGCTTTTTCTCTTTGAATTTGGAGATTTGGTAATTGTGTTGGGAGGTCTATCCTTTCTTATCCTGATAGCTCAGAGAGTCCCATTCAGATTGAGCTTTGCTTCTTGCCACTAAGAGGTGAGAAAATAAAAAGCATGAATTAAAATTTAAACACTGTTTATATTAAATATCATTTATAAGATTGGTAGAATAAACTAGAATATACTAGGAAGTGTTTAGGTTATAAATTATAAATACAAGATTAATCTAAATCAATAACAACCATTAGATGGTAGAATATTAGAGTATCTAAGAATATTCTAAATATATCTATATACTTGAATTTTACCAAAAATTAATTCAACATTTTACTATGGTTGGAACATACAGATTTTATATAGCTCAAATCTCACACAGAATGATGCATGCTGAATTAGGCCAAGACCCACTCCCTTTCATTCAATTGCACAGTTAACAATTTAGGATGTTTAGGATTTTAACTAATATTTATTAGTTGGGAAACTGTCAAGTCACTGCATATTACTAGTATAATAGAAACTTAGTGTTTCTTATAATTCATGCTCGCAAATGGATTAGCCAATTGATGTTATAGTCAAAGATAATGTCCACCTAACCTCCCTCAGCAGATCCTTCAATTTGGCATCCATAACATCTACAAGTAAATATTTGATAGATAGTGAATGCCACCATGAAAAATTTGGTTGCCGCCAGAAAAAAATGTAGGAAATTTATCTATGTATGTAACCATCCACAGAGATTGTGCAATAATAGTACAACTAAAGAAAATATACTTTGGTTTGAAAATGTTGACCAGATAATATGTAAATTAGATTGGCAGTATTATAGGAAATAAAAAAACCTAGAGTAAAACGCCCGACTTTCAAATGATACTTGATCACTGAGACTGTGTGGCTGTCTATTCCGGCCTTTAAGTTGAAACTATACAGGTTGTCGCGTATTTTCACAGCTGGAATGTTGCTCGCGAGGCGAAGATTGCTCTGTCTGTGATGGAAGCAACGACTTCATTGCTCCGTCACTGGGAAAGTAAAAAAGAGAAAAGGGATGTGTGGCACGCTTTCGATTCAAATCTCCATAAATCTTCGCAAATCAGCTTACTTGCTGTTAACAGCATGCTTAGCTGCATGCAATGCAATCGTGACAATCGTACCGTACGTGAGTTTTTGCCGGGCCGTACCCACGCTTTGTGTGGTACAGGTGAAGGAAACTTTGGAGTTCGTTTTTATTGCTCTTGGATGTGAAAGAGAAAGAGCACGAGAGAGAAAGAAAGATCTTACCCCACAAGAACAAACAAAACCAAAAGCTAAGATAGTCTACCTAGAGAGAGAGAGAGAGAGAGAGAGATCTGACCGGAGACATAGATGTGCTTGGGTGGAAAATCAAGCTTGGGTTCTGACGTATACGGTCTCTGGACTTATGGTGGATTTATGGGCGATGGATGGATGGGATGGAGAACCAGCTCTACTTATATTGTATGATCTCTCGGAGGATCCCTCGGAGGATTTCTCGGATGAAAGCTTGTGTGTGGTGTGTTAGAACTCAGAAGATAAGATGACTCACGAGAGGGACGAGAGCATCTAGAACTTAGAAGAGAAGATCCGCTAAGGAGAGTGACAATCACCATCATCAAAGAGAGGTCTATGGTGGAGCGTCACGGGGAGGCCATTCCGCATGAAGAGCGTGAGCGACAGCTTCTGCTTGGCGACATGGCCGTCCACGACGCGGACGCTGAATCGGCTGAGGATGGAAGCTGCGATGGCTTTCATCTGCAGATAGGCCACGTCTTTGCCCAGGCACAGGCGCGGACCGGCATTGAAGGCCGTGTACTTGAAGGGCGACTCGGGCACGAAGAAGCCGTTCTTGATCCAGCGCTCCGGCCGGAAGTCGAGGCAGTCGGGCCCCCAGATGCTCTCCATCCGGCCCATGGAATAGATCGAGTAGAGCACTCGCCTCCCCTTCTTGACGCGCGTGCCGTCGGGGAGAGTGTCGTCCTCCACCACCTCCTTGTTGTCGATCGGCACCGACGGGTACAGCCGCAGCGATTCCGATAGCGCCGCGTGAAGGTACTGCATCGATCGCAGCTCCTCCACGCTGAACTGGTGGATTCCATCGCCATCCTCGCCGCCATCCTCCGCCTCTTCCTCTTCCCGCTCGTCCTCTCCGGGGGTCTTCCGTACGAGACAGTCCGAGTTCCGTACATCGGGGTCCCGTACGCATCGCCTGCCCGAGCTCCGTACGACGGTGCGCAGTTCGTCCAGGATGGCGGCCTCCACGCGCGGGTTGGACTGGAGGAGCCAGAAGAACCAGCTGAGCGCGACGGAGGAGGTGTCGCGGCCGGCGAGGATGAAGTTGATGGCGACGTCGCGGAGGAATTTGTCCGAGTAGCTGGGCTTGCCGGTGGCCGGGTCCGTGGAACTCAGGAAGCACGACAGCAGATCGCTGCGCCGCGAGGGCCGATCGTCGGCCATCTCCGCCTTGCGCTTGGCGATCACGTCCGCCGCGAACGCCTCGATCGTCTTGAGGCACTCGTGCAGCTTGCGCTCGCGACGGATACCCAGCAGCCTGTCCAGCTTCCAGCTGAATTCCGGAACCGTGAAGCGCAGCAGCGTGAGCGTGGTGGCGACGTCGAAGGCGCGCGCGAACGGCACCCGCGGCAGCCCCGCGCACAGGCACCCCGGGTCGGCGCCAAACGCGAGGATGCAGATGTTGTCAAAGGTGAAGCGCAGCATCACGTCCTGGAGGTCGATGGTGGCGGAGGTGGCGGCGGCGTGGCGGAGAATTGGGAGGAGGCGGCGGTGGACGAGGCGCTGCACGGATCTGGCGGTGAGGTCGCGGAACGACTTGGTGTAGAACTCGAGGCTGGCGAGCTTGCGCTGGAGCAGCCAGGTGTTGTGGTCGCTGTTGAAGATCCCGCTGCCGAGGAGATCGTGGAAGCCGGCGCGGAGGATCTTGCCCTTGGGGAAGTTGGCGAAGTTGGTCTTGAGGATGTACTCCACGTTTTGGGGATCGCTCGTCACCACCACGTTGAGGCTGGGGATCCAGGGGACGATGAAGGTGAAAGTGCCACCGGTTTGGACGAGGATGCCCGTGACCCAGTCGTATCCCTGCTTGAAGTTGCGCGAGAGCTGCGGGATCATCCCCACAATTGGCCACACCAGCGGGCCTTTCGCGTTGTGGTAGCGGAGGAAGTGGCAGACGAGGTAAGCGGCGATCATCGCCGCCACGTCCAACCAGGTGATGCGAATTCCGTGCGGGAAGAACGGTGATGGATGCGACGGTGCCGATCCCACGGCCTCGACTGACTCCATGGCGCACAATCTAGATATCCCTCCCCCTCTCTCTTTCTATCTCTTGCTCGTCTCCAGCAATGGACGAAACGATTAAGAGAGCTTCCTTCCTTCTTGAACTTGACGATGGATGATCTTTCGATGGCCAGAAGCTCGAGGATACAGTGCGATTCTCACACGAGAGGGAGAGAAAGAGATGGAATCATCATCCGAGAGAAACAGAGGATGATCATCAGCAACTCCTACACTCTCTCGAGATCTCCTCAAAGTAGCTTGGATTTCTCGAGCATCGCCCAGCTTGAGCTCCTGCTGCCGAGGATTTATACCTCCCGCTGCCCTCCTCCTTCCCAGGTTTCCTTTGGTTACTAGAAGTTCCTAGCTGGGCGGCCCCGGGTTGGTGTTCTTGTTCTTGATCAATCAATGCGCCAATTTTTTTATTCTTCCTAAAATGGAGAAGCTCATCAACGGCAATGGCAGTCAAGCTCGAGGGGAGAGAGACGAAGGATTCGAAATGAATCTAGAGACGATTCCTCTCCAGATGCCTTGCTTATAAATGAGATCCTCGCTGGTTCACAAGCTTCTTGGAATAGACACGCGTTATACGGGGAATTCCCCAACGGAAAGTCCGGCCTCGCGAGATCGACGGTGGCAGATGATGGCGGCAGAAACCATTGCGGTCACCGCGCGACGACCATGCTGACGCTGGCCGTTGACCAGTCGGCCTAGTCAACGGTTTGTCTTGCTTGGCCCGCAAACTACCGAAGTAAATACTCGATTGCGATTCCAAGCGTATTCATTGAAATCGTTGGCTTGTCGTGGTTTTTGTAAGTTTCTAGGGTCAATCGATTTCGATGGGGAGATGCGGATGGATGAATCGCTTTGTTGCATTGCATCGCGGAATAACCAGTAGCGAAGTGTCAATCTCATGTCGGATGAAGAGATTTCTTGGGGTCGGATGCTTGTCATTGAATGAAAAGGGATTCCCTCATCAAAGTTGTTGCTGAGACGAACAATCACAAGGTTTTGATCTGTTCCTAAACCCCAAGAGAGTCGGTGGTGGTTTCCAAAGTTTGATTGGGGTCCAGCACAATAAAAACACAAATTTTCTAACCCAATCGCTCAATTGTAGGGATACGTATAGGTGATGTTTCACTGGGTGTGGATCAAACGTCAATTTCTCGGTGCGCCGTTGCACCAACTAGTTAAGCGGGCGAGTCGAAATTCAATGTGTTCATACTTAAATGTTTCACATTTCTTCTTCAAATTCCATCGAATCTTTGGCGGGGAATCTTTGACTGGTCAATGGCGCTCGAAAGATTTAGGGCTTTCCAGCGATGGCGCACAGCAGCTGCGCGGCATTCTCAGGTTTGAATTGCCCTTGGGAGTTGTCGCGGCGCCGCTTGGCTATCGCCGCCACGCCGCCCGGCAGCGGCGCCAGCGAGCTCCAGACGAGGATGAAATCGCCGCCGGCGGTAGAGACCAGCTTCTGGCAATGGCGCGATTACAACATTCGCTACCAGCGCGCTGGAGCGGCGGGGCCGGCGCTGGTTCTCATCCACGGATTTGGCGCAAATTGGTAAGAACAAATCCATCGATAGGTTTCATCCTCGTGATAGATACTAAAGAATTCGCTGTATTGTTCTTGGCAGTGATCACTGGAGGAAGAACATTCCAGTGCTGGCAGAGCGTCACAGGGTTTATGCGATCGATTTGCTTGGCTATGGCTACTCGGACAAGCCGAGTCCACGACAAGCTCAGCCCGGCAACTTTTATACGTTCGAGCTCTGGGCAAGCCAAGTTCTAGATTTCTGCTCTGACGTCGTCCAGGACAAAGTGTTCCTCGTCTGTAATTCCGTTGGTGGCAAGTATCATTCGTTATATGGTTTTCACTGAAAGAAATTTTTCTTTTTGGAATTTTTTTTTCTCCAGGAATAGTTGGCCTTGAAGCAGCATTGACTCGCCCACCTAGCATCAAAGGACTCCAATTGATAAACATTTCCTTGCGCCTACTTCACATAAAGAAACAAGCGCGGCTTGCTCGGCCATTCATTAAGGCATTCCAGGATCTCTTGAGGTAAATTCTTTTCAGTTCTTCTTCTCGACACTTCCTCACGTGTTTTTTTTTATTGTATAGACAAACAGCTGTTGGAAAAGTGTTCTTTAAGTCCGTCGCTACTCCAGAGACTGTGAAGAAAATCCTCTGTGAGGTAGGTGTTGCGTCGAAGTGTGTTTGTGTACTGGTTTTGGATCTGATGCTTTCATTCAGTGCTACCACGATGACTCTGCCGTGACTGACGAGCTCGTCGAGATTATCCTGCGACCGGGCCTCGAGAGTGGCGCGGCCGACGTGTTTCTGGATTTCATTGGCTACTCTGGCGGACCTTTGCCGGAAGAAATGCTTCCCAGAGTCCAGGCAAATCACAGACGCCCTCCTTGATGTGTGCCTGGAAATCGCTGACGATCACGATTGCTTCAGTGTCCCGTTTCGATACTCTGGGGTGAGAAAGATCCCTGGGAGCCGGTTTTGCTGGGACAAGCATACAGGAACTACGAGGCAGTGGAGGAGTTTATAGTTCTTCCAAATGCTGGCCACTGTCCACAGGTACGCTTTGGCATTTATTTTGTTCTTGATGACGGTGTACGTCCCTGGCAGGACGAAACTCCAGAACTTGTTAATGAGCTGGTGGAAAAATTCGTTAGTCGGCACGATCATTCGTCACAAGCAGCGTGAGCGAGAGTACGATCGAAGCTCGCGAACTCACGAGTATATTACGCTTGTCAGATCTTGAGAACCAAGAAACAAGTTGACGGTACGAGCGTGTGTGTATATCAGAGTTTCTTCTATCACCGACGAGAACGACCAAGATCCGCGCGGCGAGAATGTCATGAGACACTCCTGGCCGGAGAGTAAGGCTCTGGTGAGATTGGTCCGGGGCAGCATTGGTACCAAAGACTTTCACGCGGCGAAACGCGTCCACGACCGGGTTCTCGCCAGCGACCTCGGCACGGACAGGTATCTCTGCAACCTCGTGATCGAGATGTACGGAAAGTGCGGGCGAGTGGACGAATCTTTGCGGGTTTTCGAGGGGCTGGAAGGGAAGAATCACAAGTCTTGGAATGCGCTGCTGCATGGGTTTACCGTGAATGGGTACGCCAGGCGAGCGTGGCGGATCTTCGTTGGGATGCCGGAGCACGACTATTTCTCGTGGAACGTGATTATCACGGTGTTACTCCAGACTGGGAACTTGGAGAGCGGGAGGGATTTGTTTGAGAGAATGCCGGAGCCGAATGCTGTGAGCTACAATCTGGTCATCAAGGCGTACGCGCAGGTGGGATGCGTTGATCAAGCGAAAGGGCTGTTTGATCGAGCTCCTAGTTTGAATGACGTCTCGTGGACGACGCTTATCTCTGCAAATGCTGAGAGTGGGCGGTTGACTGAAGCGAAATTTGTGTTTGAGCAAATGCCTTTGCATGATAAAGTCTCTTCCAGTGTGATGATCCAGTGCTGTGGTCTTGCCGGTAACTTGGATGAATCAAAGATGGTTTTTATGAGCATGGAGGAGAGAGACGTGGTTTCGTGGACCTGCTTACTTGTAGCATATGCCGAGAATCGGTATCTTGTTGGTGCTGCGTGGAGCTTTGAGAAGATGCCGATGCGCGGCACTGTGACATGGACGGCCATGATGAACGCCTACGCTCAAGCGGGAAATCTCCGGGAGACTTGGAGGATGTTTAGTTCCTTGCCGGAGCTAGACACTGCTGCGTGGAACGCAGTGATCGCAGCGTATGCCCACTGTGGAAACAAGAAAGAGGAGGCTATGCGTTGCCTGGAGCTCGCCAAAACCATGAAACTCGAGGGATTTTTCCCAAATCATGTCACATATGCTGCCATTCTCTCGGCTTGCAACCACGTCGGGCTCGTGAGCGATGTTTGGGAGAACTTCGTGTCGATGATCGCGGATCACGGGATTGTGCCTATAAAGCAGCACTACTCATCGATTGTGGACGCGTTGGGGAGATCGGGGAGGATGGAAGAGGCGAAAGAGTTGATCCGGAGCATGCCCTTTGAAGCAGATGAAACTGCGTGGACGGCCATGCTCAATGCTTGTAGAATTCAGGGCGATGTTTCAGCGGGATTGGATGCTGCAAGTCGAGTCGTGAATGACAAAGATGGAAATCCATTTGTAGCTGTTTCTACCCTGTATCGATCAAAGGTTTCATAGGGTAGCAAGTGGTTTAAATTCAAAAATCGGCATATTCCGGGGGCATATAAACGTTGGACATATTTTAGGGCTTCACGCATTAGGGTTTTGCTGAAATGGAAGAGGATCCGGCGCCGCGCGTGCTCCTGGCGCACACATTCGAGCACCAGCAGCTGCGCGAGCACGTAGATGAGGTAATGCGCAGCGTCTCGTGCTCTCAAATCGAGCGCATTGGGTGTTTTCTCGCAGGTCAGATTCACGGAGGCTGTTCTTGTCAGCGGGTGCGAGGTTTTGGAGTTCCAGCGGCCCTCAGCCTGTTCAAACGTCCCAGTTCTAGGGTATGATGTGATCTGCAAGGGATTTCGTTCTCATTTTGGAATGAGTATTGCAGGGAGACTTATCCAGCGTCGTTTGCTTTGGAGATATTTGCTCGAATAAAAGGAGAATCGCGTTTCTGGCCAGTTTGTGCTGCATTCGTCTACGCTTCCTCAGTGTCATCACTTGATCTCCAGGTCTGTAAAAAAAATAGAGAAACAAACTTACACTCCTTTTGATTTGTTCTTGCAGGTCATTGTTACGGATCATCTGGTTATACGTGGTATTTATTCCACAGTAACGCTCGTGATCTATGGAACACCTGTACGAGATTTGAACCCCACGCCATTTATCGACCTTCCTTTTAAGTCCGAGCATCCATCTCCAGTGCCAGAATCTCCAAAGCGGGATATCCCGCGACTCGAGCATTCGTTGCAAACAACAGAGATTTCCAACCTTGTCCGGAGACTTGTACGGCTTGCTCCTGCATCGCCAAAATCTCGTGCTGCTTTAGTCACGGCCGCTCTATCCTATCGAAAAATGGGCAGGAGACTTGACAACTACGACGCGATTTTGTCATCCATGGCTCAAGTTGCTGAAGAATCGAACAAAGCAGAGAATGAAACATCGGTGACTGAAGTGCTCGATACGGTTTTGACGTGGATTCGAGATGGATTGTATTCGGGAAAAGAAAGTGAGGTATTGTTTTTGTTTGCTATTTTCGGTGCAGGTCTGAAAGCTTCACTCGTGCAGGTGAATAATTTTCTTACGGGCCTCGCCGCTGTGCAGCTGCTATGTATCAGTACTCACGAGTGTTTTAACTTTGTTCTCGCGGGTGGGATTGACGTGTTGATCAAGGCCTTGCAAATGGCCTCCACGGTTTCTCCGGTTGCTACAAGTTTGGCATTGCAAGCTTTGGAGATTTCGTCTCGTCATGCATTTGGCTGCGACGCTGTTCTTGGATGGGGAAAACGCCAGGGGCAGAAGATATGTTATGCAACCATATTATTGACTCTTGTCCAAGCACTCAGTTCTTCTGTTGTTCACCTGTCCGTGCAAGTTCTTCACCGCCTTCGCGTATACGAGTTGGCTGCGACTTTTCAGGCATGTTATCATCTTCTGATGTCTTTTCAGGGCTCACTCATCATACGTGTTTCAGGCAACAATCGATTATCTGCTGACGGATAATTCCTCTGACCTGGGAAAACAGGATGATCTTTTTATCGCGGCTGCGAGACTGTTAAAGAAACTTACTGTAAGTTTAATTCCTCAAAGTCCGGAGGCTAACGGTTTGCGCTTGCAGAACGTACTCTATTTAAAAACTGACGTGACATTCCCAAAGCATGCATCTCGGTTTCTTCCCATGGAGTTTGAAGATGATGGTTTTTCTTTAGACAATCCGAATGAAAACGTGGATGATTACATTCTGGTTATCTTACAGGCATGTCTTATCTTGATTTCATATATTTCCTCTTATGTTGAGTCCAGGAAAGGCGCTTTATATCGTCAATAGCAGCCTTCATTACTTTGAACCATGATAGAAGCAAGACTTGTATGAAAATATTGACAGGAACCTTGGACACCGTGCAAACTCTTCTTTTATCTCTTCTCAGTTCTCGGTCCGGTATGACTTTCCGCAGCTGTAATGATCGATAGCTAACCTCTGAAATTTAGGAACGTTTCTTCTTTCTTCTGACCCGGAGGCTGCAAGGGCTATGACAGCTGTTCTCCAGAAGCGATGTCGTGATCAGACGCCAGAAGAGTCGAATATTTTTTGTTCGATACAATCCACATTAGGATTGAAGCCATGGAATTTCGAGAAGCTCCTTGAGACGAGTTTATCTACGGTAAGGCTTGGATTTAAAGCATTGAAGAGTTTTGGATTTGTCTCAAAAGATCTTATGCCAACTACGCGGTTTTCATGGCAGGTTGACATTTTCCAGCGTTTGCAGTCATATGTCAATGGATCTAACGAGTATTTATGGTGTTTGTGGAAGTTGTCACTCCTATCCAGGTGAGCCCGTGTGGTGACTGTGTATGACGCTAATGTCCACGAACACAGGACACAAATAGGACGGCGGGCGATCACGACTAATTTTCAAGATACAAAGGTTTGCTTTGCAAAGAGTTTTTAGCACGCTGACTGAGTTTTACAGGCTCTTTCGACTATGCTTGAAGTTTTGGATAGTACCACAGCTACGTCTGGTATTCGTAACTGAGTTCTCGTCTATTAACTCGTTGTAAGTTGTGGCAGAAAAGCTCCTTGCAGCATCTTATGCAGCAGAAACCCTCTACGTCCTCCTCAGCGATTCAACTCTTGCCGTATGGACTGCCTGGGTAAAACATGCTGCAAAGCTGAAAGAAGTGATCTCCAAACTGAAGGTTGTGGAGGACGAGCTATCTGAAACCGGCCTGTTCACTATCCGGTTACATCTAGTCGCTGATGCAGCTCTAATCTATCAAGACAAAGGGGCTGTTGGTCTATTAAAGTTCGCCGCATTTCTTGCTGGAGAGAATTCGAATCTGGATGGGTTTGACGTGAACACTGTAATGGTCGATGAGCACGATGCCAGCAGTCTGTTGGGCAAAATGGATGGATCTTCCGGGTTTAATGACTCTACAATTATTCAGCTGACAGCTTGCATGCAAATCTTAGCATCCGTCTGCGGATCCGTAAGTACCTTTGATCTCTTCGAAATCTCTTCACGTGAGCGACAGACACTGTTTTCTTTATTTGTCACCGGCGTTCTCACTGCGCTTGTTTTCTTCCAGAGTCTCGCAGCTGCTTTATATGCAGAAGGGGCTGTCACTGTTGTTAGTGCGCTATTGGAACGTGCCTCCTTTATGCTTCAAGGTCTGCTGAATATCGTGCGTCTAAGTGATTCCATTGTACTGTTTCTTTACCTTCAGATGACTTTGAGGATGATGATTTGGCAGCGTCTTCGATACTTACGTCCGTCGTGAAGCTTCTTGTACCTACGCTCTTACTTCTTTCAACATTGTTTCAGAGGCTTGAGGTATCTATAGATCGATATTTTTTATTTTTTATTTTCCTAACTTATCATGATCTTCAGCTTGAGCGACGGCAATATCACAATACGAAGCTTGTGATGCTACTTCTAAGATTGCACGCTGCAATAAGGTGCGTACAAGTACAGGAAGATTTTACTTTTAGTTCCGTGTGTATGATGCGTTTACGTTTCAGTGGAAAGTCAGTGCTAGTTCCCACTTACTCACGGGAATCAGGTGGAGTGGAGATGCGAGCTGTTCTTCGGCTTTTGGCAGCAGTCTTGGCTTTTTGGCCCATTTTTGGATGGAACCCGGTGATCCCGCCACGAATATTTCGTTCATATGTCACTGGCTCTGACTTGCCATTGAACCCGGTAGAGACGTGTAGCTCTCTTATACTTTTGGTATGTATTTCACTGGTTTTGTCTCTTTTCTTATATTAGTTCCTGCAGGGAAATCTACTTCCTTTGGATGACAACACTGGTAGCTGTTGGGATTTTTCAGTGGAAGTAACGCTCGGTACAACTGTCATCCCACAAGTAACCTGGCACACTCAGACACCCTTCAAAGAGGCTTTACTCGAAGCCCTGGCACCGCATTATCACTACTTCGCTGATTTAATACCACGACTAGCTCTATCTGTGAGGCACATTCTATTTATTATTGCAGTTTCTGACTGTTTCATACTTGTGCAGACATCTGAGATTCTTCGTGACTTGCTAAAACATGTTGTGGTGCGAGTCTCATGCGTAGACCCCAAACTTTCAGCTGCAATGTTGCGTCCACTTCTTACATATATAGAAGAACGAACGTCTTCTGCAGCACATTCGTCACATGCCGATGCTCTGCATGTGAGTTATTCTCTGGTTTTTTCCCTTCCTTCATAGCGTTTTTCCCTTTACGCAGGTTTTATGCTGCATAGAGTTTGTTACCGAGCTTGCAAACTTTCCTGCCTCAAAGGTATGCACATAACGACAAAGGTACTGGAACTTCATTTTATTACTTTCAGGTCGTACTCCTTCAGGAAGGGATTTTGAAAATTCTGTTTCAAGCGCTTCTCAGCTTCTCCTCTTTCAGAACAGACGAAGCCTCAAACTGCATAAGATCGTTATTGACTTGTCTTACGACGATATGTGACTCCAAATCTGTACTGAGTTTTGAGCACTGTCTCTACATCATTTCCTCGTTCAAGAGTCTATTAAAGGTAGTTTTTAATTCGTCCTTACATTTGTTGTTCATGTTTTTATGTTTCGTGTCTAATAACAGGACTTACCACTAGAATATGACTTTATAACTCTGATGCATGCGTTTTACGAGTTTTCTTCTCACCGGCTAGGAAAGGTCGCTTTTCTTAAACTACAACTGGGTGAATTAACAGCAAGCTTGGAGAACGATACCGATGATGGCACAAGAAATAACATGGCTGAACGACACGATGAACCGCTATTGGTGTTAAGCCAAAGACTAACTGCTGCGTTAAATGTAGAAGGTGCTCATGACTCGACGCTGCTTGAAATTGCTCGTGCTTTTTCGGTGGGAGCGTTGAGATTGACGGCTGCTGGAAAAAGGTAAAAGTTTTTATTTTCATATGTTTCTAACTGTTGTGTCTGGTAGCTCGCTTGGCATAGGAGCTCTCAACACGTTGTTTGGAAGGCGTACATCCGATGATCAAGTTGCATTGCTAGCTATCTCAGATCTCATGAGTTGTCTGAGAAGAAAAAGTGGCGAAGGCTCAGGTGACAGTAAATGTGCTCGACAGGTACGTATTTGCCAGGGACTTATATGACACTTTTTTCTTCTTGCTTTTTTCTTTCTAGGCAGTCCATGCACTGCAGGTGCTTTCGAGATTGCTACAGAGGCCTCTTGAGCTGGAAAGTCTTTTGGAGAAATTGAAGGCTGGAAAGCTGGAAAAACAACTTGAAGTCCACCGAAGCAGCAGTACCGACGATTTCATTGCTCGGGGCATCCCCGCCCATAGTATGCTTGAGAAGTTCAGAGATCGTTTTAGTTGGGAGGTTTCGGCTGAAGTGATCGGCACAGGCACAACCTTGCGGCCACCAAAGAGGAAGCCTTTTTTGATGAACGACTTAAGCAAACGGATTGTGCGCTTGCGCACTTCTACAACCGAAGCTCCTCACTCCGCCCGTGCAGAACACGTTGAAAAGGAAGAGATTTCCGAAGATGCACCGTCAGCTTTTGTTCAAGTTGATGAGGAGCCAGGAGATCTAGAGACATCAAACGACGATGAAGGCAGCGCGACCATTTTCTCGACCTCCAACGCTTATGATGGACAATCGCCCAACGACTTATCCACTGGGCCAACGAGTATAAGCTCCGGTACAGTCCCTCCTCCAAGTTATCAAGTGTATTCCCAGGCTCCATTATTTGCACCATCGCCACAGCCACCTTTTCTGCCAACACCGCAGCAACTTTCACAGCATTTCCATCTACAACACCAACTTTCGCAAATCCAGCGGACTCCACAGGAAGGCTACGCTGGCTACCACCGGCATCAAGGACAACAAGCTGTGCAAACTCAGCCACAGCATGAAAGCTGGAGTGTCCTTCAACAGATACTTGCATCTCCAGAATCGATACAGGTGTTTTTCTAAATTCCAAGTCGCCTGAAACATGAGCTGACCACTTTTTTTTCAGGACTTGTTGAGGGATCAGACAAGACTTACAATGCTTCTGGAGCAGCATCCAAAGCTGTTGTCACTGCTACAGGTACGCTGTAGGTGAAAGTAAGGAAAGCGTACATCCCCTATTTGTGTGGCCTCCAGGAAAGATTTAACTTCTCGGGCTAATATTCGGAGGAGATATCAAAGATCATTTCGGTACTATTTTATTCCCACACATCGGGATCGTCGGTGTCGTGGGGGCAGGAAACGTTACGTAGAAATGAAGGCCTTTGTTTTAAAAACAATTCGGTGGGTGTTTTCCCTTTTCTATCGATCTCGTGGCAACTCAAGTTCAACACAGGTAAGCAAAGGCTTACAAAGTTTTGCACTTCAAAGGTCTATACTAAAGTACGAATCCAATTTACAGCGATCAAAGGTGGCCGGGTACAGCACTATCTTAGGCGAGGATGTAAAGCATATCCTGGCCCAGGGGAACAAAGGTCTGTCTTGTACTTTGTCAGCTTTTATCATACCCATAGTTGTGGAAGCAGGAATATCAACCAGGCTTGTAAAAAGTGCCTTGCAGTGGCACCATCTGTGCACGCGTGAGCATTCCGTCCAGTGGACGAGTGCGTGGGATACTGAGAAACAAAATCCCACAAGACGATATTGTTCGCGTGGCGATATTGTTGCGAATCCAGAGCTGTGTTGGTTAGATGCAAAAGTCATACATGCATGGGCCATGATGCATGTCCCCACTCTCCAGACGAGTTGAACGAATGAAGGCCCGCTCCATCACGCGCAAGCCTGTGAGAGCTTTCCTGCGTATAAAAGCCTCGCAGTTTTCTTCTTGTCACTGCAAAGTCAGCTCTCAAACGTTCTCAAACGTTCTCAACGAGTGAAAACCACCAGTGTTTGAAATGGGAGAGGCTCATGTCATTTGCGAGGATCCTCCCAAGGAAGAGAACTATGACGGGGGCTACAATAGTAGAAGCCGCAAGAATTCCCTTTGGTACGAGGAGGAGATAGACGAAGGTCTCAAGTGGACATACAGTGTTTCCAGGTTCTAGTTATATATGTTCTTCCCAATCGCATCTCTAAAAGCCTGGAGCTTTCCCAGGGTTTTGCATACAGGTGCCAGTCAATTTCAAGACATTGCATTGCTTGAAACTCAACCATTTGGCAAGGTTCGTGCCTTTCTCAATCTTGGAATGAAGAAACATTTTGGCGAGCAGGTTTTATTGCTTGATGGAAAGATGCAGAGTGCTGAAGCTGATGAATTTGTCTACCATGAAGCCTTGGTTCATCCTGCACTTCTCTCACATCCCAAGTAAGTTGAAGGTCTTCATGAAATATTTTTGGTTGACTTTCCTATCCTTTTGTTTTTCTTATTAGTCCACAGACTGTATTTATCATGGGTGGAGGAGAAGGTTCAACTGCAAGAGAAGTTCTAAAGCACAAGACAATAGCTAAAGTTGTGATGTGTGATATTGACAAGGTATATCCATAAAGTCTGAATCTTATCGTTATTTCCATTGAGATTTCAGGAAGTGGTGGACTTCTGTCAGATGCATCTGTCTGTTAATCGGGATACATTTCAAAGCAAAAAGTTGGATGTGATTATTAGAGATGCGAGGTAAGAAAGATTCCATATTTTTCACCTTTGCAAGCTGTATTTTACCATAGATTGGAACTTGAGGACTGTGTGGAAAAGTTTGATATTGTGATTGGAGACTTGGCAGATCCTATGGAAGGAGGCCCTTGTAACCAGTTATACACGAAGGCCTTTTACCAAAATATTGTGAAATCCAAACTCAAAAATGGAGGGATATTTGTAACACAAGTAAGTATATTGTTATTGCTGACTTGCTGAATAAAAACTCAATTTTAATAGGCTGGTCCAGCTGGTATTCTATCCAATCTAGATGTTTTTCCTTCTATATATCACACTTTGAAACAAGTCTTCAGATGTAAGTAACTAACAAAAAACCAATCTATTCATCTGAATTATTTGACAGATGTCATTCCTTATACAACTCATATCCCTTCCTATTCAGATGTTTGGGGATGGGTGATGGTAAGTCTTTAAATAAAAAATGCTATAAATAAATTATAACAACTTATTACTAGGCTTCAAACACTGATTATATCTATCAAAATGCAAGTGACATAGATTCAATTATTAAATCCAGAATCAATGCAAGTCTCAAGTTCATGGATGGAGAAACATATTCTGGAATACTCAAACTTAATAAACAGCAAAGACAGATGTAAGTTTCTAATTGTATATTTCTTTTTATTTAATTGACATGCATTCTCTAGTTTATCAAAATCACCAACATCTACAACTTTACCATTTACCTTTTAACTTTACTTCACCTTTTTTTTTTTTTTCTAATTTACCTTTTTTCATTTTTTCTATCGCTGAGGTATTTCTGTTTGAATATACAATAAGCCATATGATTGGACAGTAGAAGAATGAGTTTTGTCCACAAAAGGGAGAGGAATACAAGGTTTGACTTAAAGTTTTCAACTAACAAATACGGAAAATTGAAAACTTTAAGAAACATTTTTAAATTCTGCGGAACAAGCAGGATTGTAGCCACTGGTGCTTGCCGGGCATCCCAGATACTTGGAACTTGCTGCTGCTTCATCACCTCTGGCAAGACCTCTGACCAATTTTATTTTTTTTCTCCTCTTCGGTAATTTTTCTTCTTCTTCCCGCTGCTCGATCGCCGCCACTGCCTCGATTTTTTCTCAGCGATTCTCAGCCAAGTAGCTGACTAGCCAAGCGTATATGAAGATTTACAAGCAATCTGAATTGAGCGCCACAGCATTGTGATGTGGCATTAGGTCAAAAACTCTCTTTGCGTGCTCTAGCAAGCCATTGCAAGAGTAAGCGGGAACCATAGCTACAAAAATTCTAGAATTCTTCAAGAAGAGCATACCAGTAACTTGGGAGCTCCTTCAAACTCTTCAAGTGGCCATTGCTTTCCAGTAAAAGGCTCAACCAGTATTTAACCTTGGATGGAATTTACCACCCACTTAAGGCTGCATTCCCAAACAGCCTAACTTGCTGAAAGAGCCTCGTGATGCAGCAGGGTCCAGGCTAGACAGGGCTCTCACCCTTTCTGGCGTCCCGTTCCAAGGGACTTAAACCCGGTCTACTACAAAGGACCCTTCTCTAGACTACAATTCAGTGTACAAAACACATTGATTTCCAAGTTGGGCTTTTTCTATTTTGTTCACCACTATTAGGGAAATCCTTGTTAGTTTCTTTTCCTCCGTTTAGTAATATGCTTCCAAAATGAAGTATTTGTCAACGTGCACAAATTCTCCCACGCCAAACCTGTCACCAGCTAGCCTTGGCACCACCGCGGCCCAGGTTCAGCAGTCCCCCGAACCAGAATTCCGTGTCTCGGAAGTGGCCACCCTTGGAAAATTCATGCAGATCCTCAGTTTTCCTTTTTTTTTTAAGACAATGACGATGAGTGATAGCCACTGCACGTTCTTGATCGGGTAGATGAATCAGACTTGTAGTAGCTTGTAGATCTCCTCCTTGACCTTGGCCATGAAGGTTGGATTCATCCTGTATAGTGCTTGTCTACGTGGTGTGCTAGTAGGAGTCAACTCAATAAAATGTGTGCAGAGATCAGGTGGTACTCCTTTTAAATCATTGTATGTCCAGGCAAACACATCCTTGAAGCGATGTAGAAGTTGGAGTGCGAATCCTCGTGGCAACACCTTAGTGATCTTTAGTTTCCTCAGTTCCTCTGTTGGTGCTGCGAGGTTGATCTCCTCAATTTCTTCATTCATAGTTACCACGAGTGTTGCATCCTGTTATTCGAGTAGACCTGGAAAAAGCTATCAGCAAAAACACAAAGTTTTAATAAGCTAGCGTACTCCAATTAGTTGGGGTAGGGCGTCTCTTAAAAGTTCCAAAGGTAGCTGTGCTTCACAGAATGCCGTCCTAAGAAAAACAGCACCTCAGGTATCTCACGAAAGCCATGCAGCAGCATACCAGAACTCACATGACCCTAACGCTACTTCTGGATCTCGATCATTGTTTGCTTGTGACATATATTCTTTTCATAGAAAATAATTAGTATAAACAACTGAAAAATTAAAATAACCTTACCCGGAGGATTTCTGCATCCATTTCCAACAAACGAACGAGCACTGCACACACCTTGCATGTAAAACTGAAACTATCACTCATTGTTTCAATGTCACAATCAAGCGGATGTACTAACCAATTTTCTCACTTCAGGCGCAGGATCGTTAGAAAGTGTAAAAAGACCTTGAAGATAGTTATCCATGTTAACAAAGAGTGCCTACCACCACAATCACTCACTCCTTTATAGAGAGAGAGAGAGAGAGAGAGAGAGATGGTAATCTGCAAGTACCATACAAAGGTCGAGTACAGAAGGCCAAATGTTGAACAACTAAATGCTAAACGGAGGAAATAGCTGAGCCAGAGTCCACCAATACCATCACATTGGTGCCATTTATAGCATGTAGAACCCTTAAAAACAGGGGAGTTCAGCAGCTCTTGCAAAGCTTTCTCCTCTTCTCGATAGAGTGCTCGTGGAGAAGTTTATTCCCCCTGCAGTGTCCTCGGGTGGCATCTTACTGCTGGATTCAGGATGCTCACCATCTTTCTCTTTCAGCTGCAAGCCGAGCAGGTGCGAAGGAAAGTGGAGGTAACATCCACTTAAGAGGATGCTGTGGAATACATTGAAGGTGCTGATGTCGAAGCTTTGGGTGCAACTTCAAACACTTTGCTGTGTTATGCACCTCAACCTTGCACTCCTTGCACTAATGGTAGCGTCATTTATCCTCAAGACAATCACCAAGAAAGTGGATGGAAGAATCCAGCCCACACCATCAAAATTATTCTATATTTCCACTCTTCAATTTTAGTTAGGTACTCTATAACACTATTCTTATTCTTGCCTGTAAGATGGAACATTACCTAGTTGAGAAGGAAATATCCAACAGAAGTCATATTTGCATTAAGAGGAGCAAAAACTTCCACCCAATGAATTAAGTAGTCAAAAGTGATAATCACATATATATTGCCAATGGTTGACTATGGGAAAGTGTCCCACGGGGGGGGGGGGGGGGGGGAGATAGTGTGTGAGTTGGAGGAGTTGGGTAGCCGAGGTCAAGTCAGGGCTGGATCTGAGCACACACGTGCTATGCACGGTTTTGCTGTGCATGTGCAAGCTCAATTGCAGAAGCTCCCTTGCCTTGGCTGCTTGATTCCCAATAAAGCCTGCAATGGTGCAGTATGATTAGAGATGATCTATGAACCAATCAAGGTATTACACCTTGCCAAGGAATTGCTACACATCATTCACGCACTTTGGTCTAGGAAACTTTAGCATTACCTCAAGCGAAATGTAGTACCTAAAATAAGTGGTGTCCTTGGAATCAAGACTATTTCAACTTTAACCCAACCTTTTGCAATTGATTCAACACCTTGCATACATCATCAATATGTTCCTTTCATATCCTATCTAAATAGATCAAAACATCATTAATGAAGTTAGTAGTCACCTTTGGCATATTGCAAAGAACTTCATCCATTATCTACTAGAATATTACTGAAGCATTATTCAAACTAAATGGCATGACCATGAAAAACAGTCTTAGAAATGTTCTCCTCAGCCATTGATACTTGCCAATACTCTGATGCAAGAGCTAATTTGG